TTCCCCTATTTATAGAATATAGGTATATATTCCTAGAGCTCCTTAATATACTTTACTAACTTATTATATATATTATTTAAATAGATTCTAAGATCGTTTATATCTTTAATATAAAGTAAGAATAGGGTATCTATTAAGATAATATAGAACGTAATTCTCTTAATTAATATTAGAATAATAATCTCCTCTATAATAGATATTACGTTTCCTATTCTAAATCTTATTCTAGCCCTTATTCCTTATTTATTAATTATTAAGCTTAGAATAAAAGCTATTAAGGCCCTAGTTTATAAAGCTCCCGCTATAGAAACTAATATTATACTTATATTAGGAATAATATTATATTATATATAAATACTATTAATCTAATACTAGCTAAATAGCTACTCTATTAAAGCTATCCTTTTAGCCTCCTAATTACTCCCTTTAATCCTATATTAGAACGATTTATTTATTAGGAAGTATACTATATAGGCGTTTATTAATTCGCTTTCGGGATTAAATTTATAAAGATCTTCTACTTTTAGCCCTTCCAAATCTTCGGAATCTAAGCTCTTAATAAGCTCTATAGCTATTAAGAATTAATAATATCCTTTCTATTAATCCCTATATACTTCTTATATATATTTCTATTACTATTTTAAGTATTATTATTCCTTAAGAGATTACTTTATTAATTTATAATCTAATTTAGAATATATCTAATATTTACGAATCCTAGAAGTTTATTAATCGTTAATTCTATAAAACGACTACTCTTTATAATCTCCCCTTCTACTTATTTAGTAATAGCTACTTCTACTTCTATAACGCTTATTAATATAGAAGTACTTAAGTATTCTAATATTCTCCTCTACCTTTAATATACTCTTAAGCTAAGCGGATAATATATTAAAAGATCGCTCTAGCTTTATTAATATAATCTTTAACTCTAAGATATTTTAAATTACTTTTAAAATATTTATATAGAGATAGGTCTCTTCCTAGAACGTTAGACTAAGTACTCTCTAATATTACTAAAGCTTATTTAGAAGGATCTAAAGAATTTCTATTTATAGCTTTCCTATATTCTTAGGCTCTATAATAATAGAATTAAACGTTATAGAGCTCTAGTCTATATAATACTAAGCTCTATTAATCTCTAAATCGAATTATTATTTAATTTTTAAATATATTTATTAAATTCTTATATTCTTATTTATATATTCTAAGAAGAAAATTTATATATACCCTAAAAATATATTTAGGAAGAGTATATAGAGCTATATATATTAGATTTATAAGAGCTTATATATATCTATAAAAATATATATCTTATTATCTAAGATATTATAAATCTCTTTAAAATAATTACTCTCTTTATTCTAGAATAATATAAATTACTTAATTATAACTCTATCGATTAATAAATTTACTAATTTATATAATAATAGAATATAATACTAAGCTAATAGGTTCTAAGTATTATTTAAAGGTAAAGTCTTATTTTATCGTAAATAAAGTATAATCTCTTATTAATTAAATTATTTATTCTATTAATTAAATAACCTTAAAATATAAAATTAATAGGGATCTATCCTCTTATTTCGTATAACTCGAATTTAGGATAATTAAATAATCCCTATTATAAATAATCGCTTATTATCTAATTATTCTGGCTATTCCTCTATTTTATAGAATATTAAATTATAATTAATATTATTCTTTAATATATCTATATTAAATATCTCTTCCTATAATAATATTAGAATTAATTTCTTTAATATTTTAATATTTATTACCCCTAGAGAAGGATCCTACGATCTATAAGATATACCCTTTAGCGCTTTAAGAGATCGTTAAATTATAAAAATCGAAATCCTCTTCGCTCTAGCCTTAGAAGTCTTTAATAAACGCCTCTAAGAAATAAACTCCTTTTATATTTCTATATACGTTTATTATTTTAATAATCTAAGCGCTTTTAAGATCTATAGATATTAAATCTAATAATCCTAGGAATTATAACTCTATATTATTTATAATAAAATCGATATCGAGATCTTTCTTAACCCTCTAAATAAAGTATATAATATTAATATCCTTTAGAATAATATCGAACTCCTATTATAGCTTTTTAGTATTCTCTAGCTCTATTATAGAGCTATTATTATAATCTAAAGAGCTTATTATTACTAAGTTTATAAAGCTCTAATATAAATAATTAATTATTCTATATAACTTCGTTTTTTAAGTTTTATAGTTAGTAATATAGCTTAATAGTAATCTTAGTTATAAGAGTCCTAAAATACTCGAAATAGATAGTACTCCTATAGATTATATAATAGGGGAATTCCTTATTATTAAGCTTATATAAGAGTCCTAAAATACTTAAAAATAAAATAATACTTTTATAATTACTTATAAAACGTAATCGATAAGCTTATATATAGTAAATATACTATTTATAGGATCGATTCTAATTTCTCTAGCTCTAGCTATTCTATATTACGTTAAATATAATACTAATTAATATTAAGAGGGCTTTACTATTTATATAAACCCTAATCTAATACTTCCGCTATACTTACGAGCTCTAAATAAGTAGGGTATCTAATAAATCTTATAATAGTTAATTCTTATATATTTCTTCTCTCCTTCTCTGAGTTACTACTACCTACGTGAGTTAGATATACCTATCTGCTCTTAGCGATCACGTAAGCCGTAGTTTACGTGTTCCTGAGAGCAGTGGATCCCAGATATCCCAGATATCACCATCCTAACCATAGAGTTCCCTAATATTAGTTCAACATATACACTCTTTTTGGCCCTGGCCAAGTCCCTACAATCCACCTGGTGACTTTGAGCTTACGAGCTTTTGTGTCACATCGCTCGTGTCAGCCTAGCCGCTCATTTTGAAGAGTTTGGCAGGCTGGAGTTGTGACACTATTGCACCTGTATGCTAGGGTTCAGCCTGGACCAGGCCACCGGAAGTAGGCCGTCTAAGCATAGCGTGTATCGAGATTCGATCCTTGTCGTTCGGAAAGATCTAGGGAAGGATGGTCTTTTCACAGGATCGAAACCCAAAAAGCTAGCTAGGTCGAATTGAAACGAGGTCCGGTTATTTGACTTCGATGAATGCCCCGATTGAGTCATGTAGCAGAACTGGAAGCCTTTTTCGAAACAGATTCAACGGAAAACTCTGTGCGAATCTCGATGACAGCGACTTCGAAGTATAATCTGTCTCTTTCTATTGCGCAAATGCTGGCTAGGGTCGTCATTGGCGGTGTAGTTGAGACCTTGTGCCCTTGCTACAAATTTAACACGCCTACGCTAGGAGCAGAGCAGTGAGGACAGGCTCGCTAGGTGGTGTGATTTAACGTTCATGGTTATGGGCAGAAGTTTGGTTACCCAGCCGCGTGTCTTGAACGCTTGCTTATGGGGCACGCTTAGGAGGTCTGACAGCTGGGGATTCCATTTCTTGCACAAAATTGTCACCTTAATAATGTTGAGGTCAAGGTCGGAGGAAAATATGTGTGTTGGGCAGGAGGGTGCCTGGAAACTAAGGTAAGCTATGGGGAGGCACCAGGGCACGGGCCTCCTGGCACCAGGTGAATGCCACCGACCAAGTGCCACTGACCAAGGGATGATGATGATGATATATTTACCGCCACTAAAAATCCTATATAGGCAAAAAGGCCCCCGCGCCGCCACGCTCCATTGGCCGTCAAGATAGCCATATTCAAGTTGCTGCTGAGTCTATGGACTTCATTTCTGGTCGTCTGCGGGGGGGGGGGAGGCATGCCGTATCCCAGTCTACAATGCTAAAGGCGAAGGCCACTCATTTCTTATGCAGAAGTCCAGAAATCAATGAATTGAAATAACGGGAAGCTAATATAAAGTCGTTCGACGAAATTTAATATGTATAGGTTGCTTCCTTTCGCCAAGGGCAGAATCGACCACTCAAAATTCTTAAGAAGTGCATAATCTCTAGAAGCTAACAGATCCCAGCATGCTCCTAATTATGAAATGCCCTTTCTATAGACCGGTCAGTGATAGGAAAGGCGAAACAGAGATAAGATTCACACCTACAGCCAGAGGAAGAAAGAATGGCGGTAAAGAACTATGTATCGCGATCTTGAAAAGTCAACTTAACGATAGTATCGTTTATTTCGATATAAAACGGTGAGGACCCCGGTAGTATGACCTCAGAACCCTTTTCAAGGGACATGACATCGAAGAAACACGTCTTCTGGCTCTTCAATGTGTCGACGTGTTTCTCGTCTAGTTGTTGAATGTGATATAGGAGTGGAAAGCCTGGTTTTGGATGATCGGGGCCCGTGGCATACTCAATCGTTACTTCCGAGCTCCCGAATGTGTGGATCAATGACGTCTCACCAGGGCACAAAAAGAACAAAGGCTGCTGATTTGAGAGACGGTTCTTTTTGTCTTGGGAAACGCTGCTTGGCGTGTCCCCGGGGGAAGTTGTCATCACCGATGTGGCCACGTCCGCCTCGGACTCAGCAGATGATGCGTCCCTAGCACCGTCGTCCGCAGGGCCTCGCAGCACCTTGCGGCCTTGAACTTGTGCCAGCGTCTCAGGCCCAGGGGATGTTGTGACAGCACTCAAAGCCTCTGCCTCGGTGACTGCGACCTCTGACACTGTTAGGGCAGTGCTCTCAACAGGGTGGGCCAGGGCAATCGTCTGCCTTTTCTGTAACACCATCTCAATGCTTCTACGAGCAATTCGCTCGAGTGATTCATTGAGCTGGAGTTGGAGATGCTTGAAACCCGGCAGTGAGGGCATTCTCCATCCCGAATATAGGCGTCCATGACTCTTTGGGACGCTGAGACTCCTATTGAGTGCCAATGTTTCGTCGCATAAGAAGCAGGCCTTCTTCATCGACTGGATCACTCTGGTGTTGGAGAGCTCAATGGTAGGTAGGTTCTTCAAGTACACTAGTATTTGGACTTCAGCGTGGATTCTAGATTCGGCGAGAATCCGGAACGTGTTTCGGGTAAAGTCATGCTCTGCTAAGAGAGGGGCTTTCCCCATACAATTGCACAATGTGGCAGCAAGGCCTTTCTTCGTCTTTTTGGCCGATAGTCTGCTCAGTGTGTCGACAAGAGATGGAACGTATCCTGTCGTGTCAGGACGGACAAAGGCACCAGGCCCGAGACAGACGGGCTTGATCGTAACACTGCGCAAGGCGTCGACCTTTCGGGTCAAACGGTATAGCCGGCGAGCGGCGGTACGGTACTGGCCAATCTTGTTGAAAATCCTTCTGTAGTCTTCACAGGAAGCACCATTCAATGCAGAGGATGGGACCCCGCGGAACACATCGAATAAGTCTCCCATTCGTGTCCAGGTGTCTATCTCCTCAACAAGCAACAGGAGCTGTGCATCTGTCTGGTGTTTCTCGAACTGGTTGAAAGCCGCTATGAGCCTTCGGGTTCCATCTGTGAAAGCTCGTTTGTGGCCATGGCTACTTGAGCTATATGAGGCAACTGCATCGCACATGTCGTGCAGCAGCTTTTTGAGGGGCGCCTTCGTCTTTCCCCGCTTGTGATTGCCAAAGCGAAGGCGTGATAAGATACGCGCCTTGCAGATGGACAGGATATCGGAGAAGACGCGATACTCTAGCTGGCTATCGTTTTCTTTCGCCGGTGTGTGAGCAACGTCGACTGTCTAGCCTGGAGTTTGACTGACCTCTGGTGGCGTGGGAGAGAGTGTCAAATATACGCCTAAAGCCATCACACACTGAGCCCAGATAGCCATCTCCGTCGGATGGCTTTGATTTGTTCACTGCCACAAGAACCTCGAGTGAGGTTGGATGGTGTTTGCCAGGCGTGTTGAACTGCCGGATGGCAACAGCGGTAACTAGGGCGACGTCTTCGCGGATCGAAGAGAGTGCCGCTAGGATACCCGTGAGCTGCCGTTCATGCTCGAGCGAAAGCGGCAATTGACCATCACTTTTTGAGGCCTCAAGAAGACTTTTGTTGGATGGCCGGGCTGGGACATCGTGGAGGAATTGCAAAAGAGCGATATTCTCAGCGCAGATGATGGCTGGAGACTTCTGCGGAGGAAGCATTTTTCGAGCAACGCCTCTGGCAGTTGAAGGGAACACCTCGTATGTCACCGAGAAGGGGCTTTCGCTGCTGTATATAGAAGGGAGTAGCCTACAGACAGGACTCGTGGGGTGTCATCAGAACGCCAACAATGCGGTTGGCGCGAAGGAGAAGGTCATGATAGGCCGCTGCGTCATGCGTGAGGCCGGCCACTTGGCCAAAGCCACCCAATAGGTCCCGTACGTACAATCACATTCTGTAGTTTTACCACATGCGCTCATGCACTGCCTCGTGTCAGATTACGTGCGTCTTGTTCATACTGTGTACTACTAGGCACTGCATTGTCAGTGCCCAAAGAATGGGGTCTGATATACGGCTCGGCAGAGCGTTTAACACTCGTCAAGTGTACCGTTTCACAGGCTAGATGACCAACCAAACACCCAGCTAGAGATGAGAGATTATTATGTTGGATCTTGTCGGTAGAAGTAGTTTCTTTTAAATGGACGCAAGCCAGCTTCTAACGATTGTAGTTGATAGCACTTGATGGGTGCCGAGAGTCCCGGCCGAAATATAAAAAGAGCATGAATAATAGGCTAAAGGCTTTTCTTGAAGGAATTCACAATCAATTTGCTGGCCGCTCATCGACATTGCTGCATTGAGGATGGCTAATGCTTCAGAGACTATCTAGGTCTGACGCGTATGCCATCCGCCGCCAGAGCAACTTCTTTGTCCGTCATGCCTGTCACCAGCGCATCCAAGTCCAGGCTTGCTGCCTGTCCAAACTGCACGAGATCGGCTTTGAACGCGTTGAGAGGTCCAAAAGCCGAGAGCTGCGGCTGCTTGAACCATAGCGCGAAGAAAATCGCCAGAAGCGAGGCTGAAATGAGAAATCCGACGGAGACTGTAAAGGCCAACACCGTCCACGGCGCTGGCGCGAGGTGTGACGACCTCCTTGCGGGAGTACCAGGAAAGTAATTTTCGTCGGCAAGGCCCTGCTGCGCCGTGCGCAGAAACGCAGGGGCGTTGGGGGCGAAGACAGCGCCGCGGAAAACGGGGTTGTAGAGGAATAGCGCTGTGGCATAGATATTGCGCAGCGTGTCGACGGCTATAGAGCTCTCGAAGCCCTCGGACTGGTAGTTGTAGTACACGAACATCCATAGGTTAAGTGTGACATCAGACCTCACCTGGCCGGTCTCGCAGTACCTTGAAATGGTCGAGTTGCCCTGGGAAAAGGGGCAGAACAGGTTGTCAAATGCGTCGAGGAATTCGCTCGGGTGGATGTCCTGCCTTGTTGGCTTTCCTTTGTCCGTCACCTCTAGGATGGCGCTGCTTCGGCGATCGGCGGCCATGCTGATATTCAGGCGGTAGATATCCAGCGTGGATGAAAAAGCAACGAAAGAGTCCCACCCTGGCCACTGAGGGTTCAGTGAGCAGTCACCTTCGTCGTCGAGCTTCCCTGGGTCGCAGGCTCGAATACCTGGGCGATAATCAGTTCAACAAGTCCCGACATGGGCATGCTAGCCGCACAGTGAGGCCAAATGCTGGGCCAGTTCCAACTTACCGGTGAGAATAGAGCCGCCCTTGTTGCTCTCCTTTGCGCAGATTTGAATGGCACTGTCCACGGCTTGGTAGACGCGACATTCGCTGGTCGCCCAGGAGATGGACTTGTCAAGGGTAGTGTTTCTGCCTTCGAGCTGATACACAGGCATGTCACGAGTTAAGAATGCTGTGAGATCGCTTGGCAGCTGGATATAAGGCCACGGTGCAATCCACCTTAGTCCGCCAACGAGCAAAGTTGCCTCGCACGTCAGATCGTTTCGACACTCATGGCTGATAGCTTCCGTGCTGCTTGCCATTCTCGTGTCTTGCAGCATATTGAAGATGTAGCTATTGGTGACATAATCTCCCGGCACCTGGAATGTATCACTAGAGTTGAAGATGCCCATGCCGCCGCTGACTGTCGACCAGCCAGCAGGACGGTAGGAAGTCCGAGGGCTTGCATCTGACATGATGATGATACCAGGAAATCGTATCAAGAGCCAGACAGCTATCCTGCGCCGTAGCCGTCAATCTACGTAATGCGGAAGTTTTACCCATGCAAGATTATTGCTCACCTCCAGAACGCCCAAAATTGGGGCCATCGCGCCGAAAGGCCTCGCCGAAGTAGATTCACGATGCGAGATGGCGAGGGAGATCCGTTTTTCGGGGGATTTCGCAAAACAACCCACCATCCAGCAAGGCCAGAATTCATGACGAGATGGGTCAAAAGAGTTGCGTTCCGGTGAAGAATGGGTCCCCAGTACAGCTTCTCCCACCCAAGATTTCCCAGACTGTCAAGGGCCCAGTCGGTCAGCTTAGCGAGGATTGTCAAGAGGAAGATGCCTGTCGAAATCGAAAGATTGGCAAGCGGCCAATCGAGGGACTTGGCTTGCCACGTGAGTAGTGAGACGAACATGAACAAGAGCATAGCCCACAGGGCTGACCAAAGCAGGCCATCGGTGAGGGCTGCGTGGATTGGGGAAGCCTTTGTTGGTACATTGCTGGGGATGGGGGCACCATTGGGTGTAAGAGGGGTACCCGTCAATATTCCGGGCAGCTGTGTTGGCGCGACAGGGGTTATTGAGGTAGTTGGACTGGAGGGGGGAGAAGCAACTGGCAAAACTGGAAGGTTTGCAGTGTTTGGAGGATGCAAAGTAGTCGGTGTTGATGGCGAGGAAGCCGGCGCCGTTTGAGGTTGGCCGTGGGTACTCGAGGGAAGTGAATGCGGAGTTGGTTGAGGGGCAGGTGTCTGGCTAGCTGGCTGCGGCACAGTCGTCTGCGGAGGGCCTGGAGTAGCTGAAGACTGTACAGCCGGAGGTACAGCCGGAGTTGGGCTTGCTGCAGGCGATGGGGGGGACGCGATCCATGCAGGGTCCAGAGCAGCATCTGGGCTGTCAGCAAGGGGCGGAGTTGGGTTGGGACCCTGCGAAGCATCCGGAGAGACATCGGCGGGGGAACCGCCGGTGGGAGGTGCCTGTGAGATTGCTGATGGATGCATAGTCGCTCCGCTTGTGTTCTGGGACGCATCGCTAGGAGATGCATTTGCAGTCAAGTGTGAGGGTAATGTGACCATTGGAATAGAGTCCCCGATCGAAGTAACTGAGTCGGCATTTGGGATTCCCTGCTGGGCCATGGTGACAAATCGAGATCGGGTTTGCTTGCGAGCACGACGTTGCGCTGATCACAGCTGTCGAAGCTCTGAAATACCCGGCTACCATCACGGAGACGGTGTTTTGATTTTGGCCCCCATTATATCTGCCGGGGGCGCCGCTGTCAATACCACAGGTTGACAGCTCGGTCTCGAGCTGTCCCGGAAGAAAAGGTTGCTCAGCTTTGCCACGATATTGCCCTTTTCGGCCGCGGTCAGCCGGGACGGCTTTTCGGCACGGTCCTAGACCAAACTCTAACAACGGCTTCGGTGTGTGGCGCGACCAGGCTCTCTCGTATCTGATAACGTGCTTTGCGATATGCTGCTGGCGAGGCGTCGAGATGTCACATCGCGTGCTGCGAGGCGTTTGTCAAGTTTCAGCTGAGCCTATCCGACAACGCAGAGGGTTGAGCTATTGTTGCGCCCCGCGCCCCAGCCTGTGATGGAATGGGGTGATCGTCTGGGCCACCTGATACCATCTGCAGCCTTACGCGATGGCGATAGCATGTCCGTAGGAGTTGCTTCCAGGTGGGACAAGGATGGCGATTGGCAACGAAATCAGCTTGAATGCTCTGGGGCAACAAAAAACCCCATGCGCCCTGGATGGCTCATCCAGGCCTGCAACTCTACAGTCCATCACGAAATATACTCTCGATTTTTACGTTGTCACAATGCAAAACCGTATACTTCCACTTTGCGCGGCTATCGCCGCAACCGTCCCCACCGCCTCAGCCTCGCGATCCGCCCTCCGTGCCTCACGAGACGCAATCCAGGGCCGCAGCTTTCTGTGCCCCGTCGTCTGCGACACCACGTGGTGCTGCCTGACGGGCCAGACGTGCCAAGAGAGCAGCGACGACGACGCGCCGTACGAGTGCGCCGACTCGCTGTTCGAGACGACCGAGGCGGCCTTTGCGCTCGTTCCCCTGAGCAGGCAGATTGAGTCGATCATAGCGGAGAACAGCCTGTTCCTGTCGAGTTTGACGGCGGAGCTTTCGCTGACGTTGACGTTTACGCCCGTTACTACGCTGCCTGATCTGTTCGAGCCGACTACGGTGTCTGACAGACCGGTGATCACGGAGCCTTTGACGCCGCCTGCCACTACTACACTTCCGACGTCGACAAGCTCCAGGACGCAGGGTGATGATGACGCTGCGGAAACAGGCGAGACGAGTGTGACGGCGACATCGACGACGTCTACTGCAAGCCGTGAGATCTCGACATCGCCCGAATCAACGATCAGGGAAACTGAATCAACTTCAGGAACTATCTCCCCGAGTGCAGAGAGCTCATCGTCGTCGACTGCCGCTACCGTCTCGGGAGAAAGTGGCACGGCCACATCTACCCGCACGGCCTCGATCAGCACAGAGACATCGGCGCTGTCCGGCCCCGTGACGACGACCTCAAGCCAAGGTGCCGCGCCGACGGCGCAGTCACAGTGGCAGCACGGCATGGCCGTCGTCGGGCTCGTCATTGCTGCAGTACTCTAGGAGAAGGGAAAAAAGGATTGCGTTGAGACGGAATATGCTTAGTGGCTGGAGAAGACTAGCTGAAGGTGCGAAATCTGTGTAAGGCGGGTGTATGAAGATCAGCGGGTCCTCATCCAACGAAAGAAAATTGAGTTGGAGTGTAGTGTGCTTGAGATATGCTCTAAACTACGTGTGACAGACGTTCATTATGACAGACCTCTGGATTGAAACTGCTCTTGACATTGGCCGACTTGGCTACCCCACAATATGAATTCACCAAGCCAATATCTTTGACCACACATATCAGGGCAAGGCATTGTTACTGGAAATTGCAAAGGCGTTCATGTATCATCAATTGAAGACGCTTAAAGGTCAGGCCAGAATGATTTGGTCAAAGGCACATGAATCTCAGGCCATGGCAAATTCAGACAGTTACTCCCGGTACTCGCCCGCAAAAAGCGACTCGCCCGGCTCCCCGTTCATGACCTCCCAGACAGCCCTCGGCTCAAGCTCCAGATCCCTCTCTTTCTTGCTTCCTTCCTTGGCCTCCTTGATCTCCTCGAGCGCGTTCTCCCTCTCAAGGGCGACTGCGAAAATATTAGCTTATTTTCCTCATTCCGGGGACACTGGTGTGGCACTCACCGTGCAGGAAAACGGCGGTCCTCTTGCCCGAAAACAGCGCATGCGGCACGTTGGTAATGTTGTCCGAGTTGGCATCGCCAATGGCGTAGACGCCAGGGATGTTTGTCACGAGACCCTTGGTTTGGTCGGCCGCAAGACGGCCGCCGTAGAGCGTGACGCCCATCTCCTCGCCAACATCGGACGCCTGCTCGGAGGGCCAGCTCGACAGGAAGGCGGCGCGCTCGACGGGCTTGCCCTCGGGGAACTCGACGCTGAAGAGGTCGGCATGGGCGACGGACGGCAGGCTGGGGTCGTGGTCGTCCTTGTCCTCCTTGAGGCGGGTGAGGCGCTCAATGGTGCGGTTGTCGACGGTGACGTTGTGGATGTCGAGGTAGATGCGCCAGTCGGGGAACTTCTTGTCCGTGGCGGCCTGGGCGTCGGGCGTGTCGGTGCCGTTGACAAAGGCCACGACGTCGGCGTTGAGGGTGATCATCTCGCGCACGAGGCCGGGGACGTCGGCCAGCGGGGCGAACAGGCCAAGAGGCTGGTCTGCGTACTCGTGACCGTCGCACCAGGGGCACCAGTAGATCCCCTTGCCCCAGGCGTCCTTGATGCCGGGGGTCGCGGGGAGGATGTCGCGCATGCCGGTGGCCAGGACAATCTTGCGGGCGCGGTAGGTCTTGGAGGCGCCGGTGGGGTCATCGGTGAGGACTTCGAAGAGCGTGTTGTTATTCTGCGGCTCAATCTTGGTGACTGTCGCGTTGACCATGGAGACCGTCTTGTAATGAGCGATCTGCTGGCGAGCGGCGTAGCGGAAGTAGGCCGGGCGGACGCCTGATTTACAGATCAGAAATGGGTATCGGAGAAGCAAAGGGAACCATACCATCAAATCCGAGGACATCGTGCATCTGTCGCGTGGGGTCGTTGCGGTACACGCCCGAGTCGATCAGCAGCACATTACGGCGGACACGGGCGAGACCGCTGAGGGCCGAAAGACCGGCAGGACCGCCACCGACGATGATGGCATCGTACTCGGTGGCGCCGGTGCTCGAGGCCACCTCAAGACCGGAAGCAGGCACAGCAGCACCTAGGCCGAGGGTGGCCAGGGCGGTCAGGACGAGGGCATTACGGAACCACATGATGCGAGAGGGAGGGAGTCGTCAAAACGAAGGTGAGATGCGTGAGGATTTCGAAACCGCAAACCAGCGAGGTAGACGGGCATTATAAAGACGGAGAGCCCATGCGTGGATCACAACATGCGAGCCGGCCGATCCCAACTTCGAGTCTGTAGGCGAGAAGGCGTGAAAGGTCGGCCAAGCGTGTTGGAATGGACCGTGATCGAAATGAGTCGTGCAACACACCTGGGCCGTGTAACTGAGACTAGGGATCCATTGGACAGCGGACTCTGCGGTTCATCCCGCGTGCTTGTGTCGATCACGACTCGTTGGCCGAGACAGTGCCCCGCATTGCAGTCTACCGCGAGACAGTGTCGAGTGCGCCGACTCGGGCCACACGTCCATGGGAGCCTTCACGACGCCAGCTCTGCATTGCATTGACCGGTCAGGCTGGGCTGAAGCTGGCGGTCTCTCGTCATTGGAAGCCACGAGGATGTGTGCTCGAGGGGCATGTCAAGTGGTCGTCGGCTCTCGGCAGTCTGTGCAATGGCGATGGACATCTGAGTAACGAGAATGTTTTGCCAGAGCAAGCTGCATGACGGGTAGTCATGCAAACACTCGATTAGGCCGCCTGCATCGTCGCTCGGGTTGGATGGTGGTAGGACGGTTGGAGGTGTGTGTATCGGAAGTCATCAATCTGGTCGGAAACGGCTCCAGGGTCTCGATGCTGGCAGTCGGCAGGTCAAACACTGTCGGTCATCGCGCATGGAGCCATGGCACGCCATGTCTACAAGCTGGAGTCAGGCGTCGAAGGAGGAGGCATCTGAGTGACCATCTGCACACACCGCTTGCTCGCGGGCAGCTTCAAGTCGGGGTAGCCGTGTGATGGGTTTCGAGCGGCACAAGGATTCGTGGCAGCTGGCGTAGCTGGCGTCAAACGGGTCTCGGGGAGTGACGTGGGTGGGCAGAGCTGGCGGTGGGAAGTGAGACGTTGAGATTAAGACGGTGATGTTGTGGAGCAGGCGGTGCCTTGAGCTTGGCCCGTGTTGGTTTGGGTTTTGGCGTGAAAACGAGCAGCCACAGCCACTGAGCCTTGCGCCACTAACACTAAGCCTTGGCCGCCAAGCCACAGGCCACGGTCGGCCATGGCGACTCCGAGACAAGACACTAGAGGCAATCACCACTTCACCCTAACATGCACATCACAGCATAGTACAAGGACATCGGGCGAACTCGTTAATTCATCCCTTCTCGACTCGCACATCAATGACTCTTCTCCGTGATTTCTCAGGATCACCGCCATCTCGACGAGCAAGCCGAACTACCTACTACCACCGCACAATCATTTCCATGGCGCCTCCTCAGGCGGATCAACAGGAATCCGCCCCGCGTGCTCCGAGTCCCATTCCGTGCACATGCACTCCCGAACCGTCCACTCCTTCGGATTCCAGACAGGCTTGAGGCACCGCGGCACCTTGCCCTTGGGACAGCAGATGTAGTCGCACTCGGCGATGGCGTCCGGCGGGCCCTCCTTGCCGCGCTGCCGACCAAAGCACTGCAGCATGATATTGACCGTGCTCTGGCACGTCACCGTGTCCTGGAGATCAGTCTCCATGATGTGGCCCTCGACATCAAGGCAGCGCATGTTCCAGTAGTCCGATTCTTGGAAGTCAATCTCGGCGCAGTGCTTGCAGTGGCAGCGTCCGTCGGTACAGCTGAGCGTGCGCCGCTCTCCACAGTCGGCGTAGTCGCAGTCGGTGTGCTTGCTGCACGTACGGCCAAGGCATCGGCAGCCAGGGCCTGCATTCTTCTCGAGCGACGACTTGGTGTTTTGGAACACGCACACGGGTTCCTGCCAGGCGTAGTCACACTTGACGTCCTCGCAGTCGGATTGCTTTTCGCAGTTGTTGACGGCATCCAGATCATATTCGCACGATCCCGAGCCCGCGTCGGAGCTCCGACGCGTACATTTGGCGCCGAATTGCTTGCCGCAGCGCGTGCGGGCGCAGTCTTCATCCTTGAGGCATCGATCGCCCTCGTCGCTGGGCCGTGCGCTATCGGCAGGTCGGTCGTAGTAGCAGCCGGCGGGTATGTCGGCGCTGCCGTCTTCTGCCTTGTGGCGCTGAGAAACATCCTTGATGCCGGTGCCGCACCAGCCCTGCTCAAAGAGAGAAACGCGTTCGAGGTTGATGCGAAGTCGCTTCTCGTAATGGGTCGTGTCATCTTCGCGGACATAGGCGTAGGGCGTGTACTGGAACGAGACGAGGCCATGCCATGAACGAAGTGAGCCCCCGTACAAGGAGCTCGAGAGCGACACCTGTTGCTCGTAGAGGTGGACGTGAATGTCCCCTTCCCTCAGGCCGAGCTCGTCGCGAAGAGTCGTGCGGATGCTGTCGACCTCGGTCGGGTACTTGGCGGTCTTGGTGGCGTTGGCTGCTTGCGGGCTGATAATGGCAACGTACACAAACTCCTTGTTGTCCGCGTTGAAGTGGCTGTTCTCCGAAGTAAACTCGGCGAGACCGGGGTTCTGGGTACCGCCCTTGTCATTGCCGTCTTTCAGGAAATCTGTGACCATTTCCTTGAAATATTCCTCCTTGGTGCGATCGGGCTGAGCTCCCTTGACGGCATCGCCTTCGGGCCCAATCGGGATCGAAAAGGCCAGAGCCTCCCAGAAGTGTCCGAACCAAATGCCAGCAGGCGAAGCCACCAACACAACGGTACATCCCCAGACCGGAGGCGCGCCACCGCCCATAGGCAGCACGTTGCCTTGTCCTTCCGAATTGATGGCAAAGTCGTAGAACTTGCTCGTCGACCAGAGCTCAAAATTGCTCGAGTTCGTCCTGCCGTACTCGGGTCCAGTGGCCTCAATGTGCTCGCGCATGAGCCCCCACCAAAGATCCTCCTGCTGACGCCAGCCGGGACGGTACTTGCTGGGGTCATCGAGTTCAAACCCAAACATTGTGTCGTGCGTCCAGGCTCGGAATGGCTGGTCTTCTAACGTGTCTGCCGCTTCGCCGCATGCCTCGCATGTGCCGCCGCACAGCCTTTCGGGCAGAGGACAAGTCGGGCCTGGGATCACCTCGACGCGGGGGCTGTCTTTTCGCTTGATGCCGTCTCCACACCATAAGCGATGGATGAGGACCTTTTCCTCGAAGCGAACGATGAGCTCCCTACCAGTGCCATATGTTCGGACATTGGTCGTTGTGTTCTGCTCGCCGGGGGAGAAGTGCCACGAGAGGAGACCCTCCCAGCCAACACGCTCGGTTTTGTTCTTGTCGCTGTACACATCGGTGTGGCGGTTATAGGGGACAACATTGATCATGTCCTCATTCTGGAAGCCGAGCTTCTCCATCTCCTGTTTGACACCCTCAATGGCGTCGCGGATGTACGGGCGGTATTGGGGGGGCGAATCTGGATCATTCGACCCATCTGTATCACGCGGCGCCGCGATGCCGACCCAGACAAACTCTTGCTCGTCGATGTTGAAGGGCATACCGGGCCCTGTGAGGAGTTCAAGACCCTGGTATCCGCGACCGCCGTCGGAGATGAAATCGACAACACCTTCCTTGTAGTACTCTACCTGCGCTTTCGGGAACAAGCGCTCAATGTCGTCGGCAGAGTCGCTGAAGAGGCCGAGCGTCAAAGTCGGGACCTCCCAAATGTGCGCAGTCCAGACGGCTGAAGGCGAAGCGACGACAAGCGCGAGACAGCCGGCGACAGGCACAACGCCGCCCATTCGAGGGACGGCATACTCGAGCAAGGTGTTGTCTTGGCCATAATGGAAGAGAACCAGGGAGCTGGTCGAATAGTGTGCCAGCGTCGTGTTCTCGGCATCGCGTTCGATGCCGTGAAGAGCACCCCAAGTCGTGCAAATAATGTACATCTTGCGCCACCAGGCCTTCTCACCGCCCTCGCCGGGCCAAAAGCCTGGCCACCAGACCATGCTCGTGATGATCTCTTGTGCGTTTGCCGGAAGCGTGGCCCCAGGAGCCTGACGTTTGCTCAGAGCAAACTTTGCACCGCCACCGGCGTCAGGCATGGTATCGTCGCTGTCACTGTCGGATGGGTCGTCCATTTCGACATCGCTGTCCGAGTCTTGGCCAGGGTTGAAGCGACTCATACACTCGTCGCATCCGCCACAGAGGGGCACAGTATGCCGCCTTCGCTGGGTCTGACAACCATCTGCGACATCCGACATGTCGACATCCTCAGAGGTTTGGCCTTCAGGCACCATGCCATCGCCGCACCACGACTGGCGGAAGATGATGGACTCTTGCCAGCGGATGACAAGCTCTTTGGCCTGGCTGGGGATGACAGGAGGTACGCCGCTGCCTGTTGGCTGGGCCGCTGAAGTCGACGTCGTGACGGTGGCGGAGCTGGTTGAGTCGCCTCCACCAGGGCCGTACTGCCAGGACACCATCCCCATCCACGGCTTCCAGTGCGGTTTGCCTTCGGCAGCCCACTTCTGCAGCTTCTGGTCGTCGGACAGATTCCAGAATTCGGTTGTAGGCGCCAGGGCCGACTTGGGGGTACCGAATTTGCCAACATCGTAGAAGATCTGCTGGATGATGTCTTCGGGGAACTTGCAGTCCTTCTTCAGAATCTCGACAATGGCGGCAACAATCTCCGGATAGGCAGCTGCCGTCTCCGGCTCAGCGTCGTCGTCCATGACGGTGATGATGTAGACTCGCATCCATCGGAGGGACTCAAAGTGGAAAGGCTGGCCGCGGGCCAAGGCGCTGTCGCAGAGACCCATTTGCTCGTCACTACCATCGTCCCCGCCGTCCCAGCCCTGGAGTAAGACGTCGCGAACGTACTTGTCAAAGTAGAAGCTTTGGGGCATGTCATAATCGTCTGCGTACTCCTCAAAGGCGAAGCTGGGGATTTGCCACATGTGGCTCGTGAAGATGCCCCTTGGAGACGCCACGACGACGGAGGTGCAGCCGCGAATAGGACCGACGCCGCCGCCCTTGGGTTCATCAGCCGGTTCTCCGTCGAAATCCGTTTCGCCAAAATGATCGATGGTTGTTGTGGAAAACTCCTGTGTTCCGGCCGTGTAGTCAATCTTGGGGCCGTTCTCGACAGTGAGCTGGAAGGTCTTCATCCACCACTCCAGCTGGGCCTCGCCGTTCTTCCACGTCTCGGGATCGGTAGGCCGGTTGGCCAGGATGACATCTGCTGTACCAGGGCTCTGTCGGCGCGCGACTTTGTTCGTGGCGCTGTCTTCTGATGGGTCCTCAGCAGGCTCAGCCTCGATGTCCAAACAGCTGCTGCAGTGACTTGGGCTGCACCTTGACCTAACACACGTGCCATCTTCACGAGGCTCGAATCCGGGGATCGTGACTTCGAGATTCTGCGCGCCTTCAGTCTGTCGTGCTACCAAACTCTGTGTCGTCAAACCCTGGGTCGCCGAACTCAGTGTCGAACCCGGCTGTCGATTACGACACCACGCCATGGACGCGAGGACCTCGTTGCCGAAGCGGATGACCAACCGTTGCGACTGGTTTTCACTTCCTGGGCCATATTGCCAAACGAGGAGGCCGTCATACCACTCGGACCGAAAGTTATCGGGATTGGAGTCGTCCCGTTCATCGACGAACTCCTCCCAGTCTCGACCGACTTGGGTGTTTGGGCTGTACGGCGTGACGTGGATCATGTCGAATGGCACGCCGCCTGCCGTCTCCATCTGTCGTTGAATCTCGTCGATTTCCCATGGAGAGTAAACTCTTCCCCGTGAATCTGCCGAGGTGATGATCCAAGCCCCTATGAAACCGGCGGCCTCGGGATCTAGAGGCTTGCCGTTTCCCATGAGCCCCCACAGCCCGGGGTACCAGTCGACCTGGGCGTCGTCGCCCGTGGCGCCCCGGGCCAAGAAGTCGGTGACGCGCTCCTTGAAAAGTGCCGCGTGACCCATGGGATACCGTTCGCGGTCCCGCTCATCGTTGTAGTACAGATTGGGGGATTGCCAGATATGGTTCGTGTAGACACCCTTTCGGCTCGCCACTACGATCATGGTACAGCCCCATACTGGGCCCGAGCCGCCCCCGATGCCGGGCATGGGCGTGCCGCCGAACAGGCGAGGCGGTTCATCGAAAGCGACGAACATGCTGGCCGAGGCGCCGGGAACCCACCGCCAATCGGGGTCGCTAACGTAAAAGTCGCTGCCATCGCCAGCACCGTAGTCGGCGACGATGCGCCATGCCTTCTTCCACCAGTCGGCAGCGCCGTCTGGCCAAGTCTCGGGAGAACTGACGTCTTCGGTGAGAATGACATCTCCATCTCCAGTACCTCGAGCTTGGATGATGTGCTTTTCGGCTGTCGAGTCGGGATCCGTGGTCCCGGGCGGACAGGCACCGCCGGGGAAGTCGCAACGGCCTGGTTCGCAGAGACGTGGCGGTTCCGTGGACGTGGGCGTGGCCGTGGCGTAGGTCGTCGCAGTCTTCGTCGGTGGCTTGGAGCAGAGCCTCTTGGTCTCGCAGGCGGCAGTGAAGCAGCTGGTTGTGAGAGCTTCGGTCTGGATGGTGCCCGAGCGCGTAACGGGTTCAACAGTGCAGAACTGCGAGCAGTGAGGGGCGACGGTGTAAGTGACGGTGCAGCTGGCCTCCTCTTCGTCATCATCATCATCGTCGTCGTTGTCATCATCGCGGTCATGATCTTTGTCGTTGTCTCGGTCGTTGTTGTTATCGTTGGTACCGCCGTCAGTACCGCCAGAAATACTGCCGGGATCAATGTCCCCGAAGGGGTTGCCGCCATCTCCCCCATTGCTACCACCGCCTTTGCCGCCTTTGCCGCCCTTGCCTCCTTTGCCTCCCTTGCCATTACCATCATCGTCGTCGTCGTCATCATCGTCGTCGTCGTCATCATCGTCGTCGTCGTCTCCTCCATCATCGTCGCCACTGTCATCATCATCTTGGTCATCTTCACCACCATCCTCTTGCCCCTGACCATCAGAGCCGTCCGAGCCAGACGGAGAAGGAAGAGCAGAAGAAGTCATGACAAGAGCACTGGTCTGGGTCGCAGAGTCAATATCAGCAGGCGGCGACGGCATGATGACAGGAGGGAACCCGGAACGCTCGGGGATCAGGGGCCCGTTGGACTCAACGCAAAGAAAATCCCATTCCCAGCAGAGGTTGTAGCACCAGTACTTGGGGTTGCAGGTCCATCCTGGGATAGTCGTGGGTATAACGATGCCATCGATCGTGGCAGTGCGAGTGATGTCGGTCGAGATCCAAGTAATACTCGACGTGCGGAAGGACCCGTCGGACTCGGTGGTTGTGGCAGTGATAGGCCAAATCCATGTCTTCGATTCAAAGTACTCGGGCGGGTATGGGGAGAAGAAAACGTCGGGGTCTGTTTCAGGAGGGAAAAGGGGCCAAGGAAACCAGAACGAGCCGTCCTCTTTTCGTGGCCATGGAGGAAAGATGAACCCGTTGTGTTCGCGAGGCCGGGGAGGGTACGGTACGCCGTCCGAGTCAGTGGGCCAGGGGTAAGGCGTGCCATCTTCGCTGGTGGGCCATGGCACCGGCGAACCATCAGCGTTGGTTGGCCAGGCGGACTGGTAGATGCTGGTAGAGTATCTGTACGTCGGGGTCGGAAATAGTGGCGATCCTGATGAGTCGGTGGGCCACTGCGTGGGAACTGCACCTTGGCCCTGTGTAGCTGAGGGCTTCTCACCATTAGAAAGGGGCGGCGGCGTCTGGCTCGGCATCGTGCTGACGGAGGGAACATTGGGGATAGGCATGACATTACTCATGCTTGGGGTGGAAGCCCCCGGCATGGGGGAAACTGGTGGCACATCGAACGATTGCGATCGGGTTTCTGCAGGCAGGTTCGAAGATGCATCTTCGTGTTGGCTAACTGAAGACCATCCAGGGGAGCCGTTGACGCTGGGTGGTACTATGGGAGGCTCCGCGGGCACGAGCGAGGAGGAGGCGGTGTTCGATGACACTGGTAAGTTCGGCTGTCCTCCAGATGGTTGAGTCTCAGTGTCTCCGCCTGGGTTGGATGACTTGCTGAGGGCAGGACCGGATGCCGTTGGGTGAGTAGTGAGACCAGACTCCGACAGAGTCAGGGGCTGAGAAGCAAGTGGCACGCCTGAAGAAGGGATGGAGTCGACAAAAGAGACACCATCGGTCGGCGGCGCGTCGACAACGGGAGACGCTTGACCAAGCGATGCAGCGTCGCTCAATGTTGTTACGACATTGGTGGCGGGAGGAGATACTATGCCACTGTCATGGACACTCTGACCAGACAAAACAGTGCTGGAGCTCTCTTGACCATCAGCACTGGCAGTGCTGACAGGATTCTCAGCGCTGGAAGGTCCATTATGGGTGGAGCGAGCAGAGTCGTTCTTGCTCGTGGCGTGAGGAAGCGTGCCCGGGCTTCTAGTGCGAGAGACCTCATCGTCCGAATCCTTTGATGTAGGTCGGCCACCAGTGACAAAGATGGGAGATTTGGAAGTCTTCTGGGTCGTGGGAACCCCAGTGTTCTCGACAGTATTGACTGTTGGGGTATCGCTCAAAGGAATCCTGATCGTCGTGCCCTCATTGTGATTGGGGGCATCGGCAGGACTGGTTGAGACGGCTGTGGAAGCGACAACAATGACCGGAGAGCCCGAGTGATTGAGCTCAGGGCTGGATTCATCAGGTACAACAGACTCAGGTTGAACAGTGGCCTCGGCTGCAGGGACACTTGAAGCAGTAGTCGAAATGTAAATCTTGATAGTCGTGGCCTGGCGCTCTTGGAGAGTGTGCACCTGAGGATCGTGGCTTGAAAGCACATCCTTGGGCGTGGCCTGATCGTCGGGTTGAAGAGATTCATCGTTGGAAATCACGGCGTCTGTGTTGGATGTCGATTGAGGGCCAACAACGCCATGAACTGTAACACAGCCATTGTCGGTATCGGAGTTCGAACAGAGTTTGGGCGGTTCATTGATGGTTTCTGTAGAGGTTAGATGTCGTTGGTTCAAAGAATGTGCGTCGCTGAGGCAAAGTATGGGTCATGGGGCTGAGACAGGTGGCTCATTGTGGCGCGCACCATCAAAGCGACAGCGGACCCCTTCGTTAATGCTCCTAAGACATACCTCCAGATACAAACGTCACGAACTGAGCCAAGATCAGAAAGAGAAGCAGGGGCAAAGGCCAGTTGGGCCATTTGCCCGGGCGCAACGACGCCATCGAGGTTGCAGCGTGGCAGTGTCGTGTGCAATTGTAAGCAATATCGTCAAAGACTCAAAGGTTGTCAAGGGGTCTGAGATGCAACCGTGTTGGGCGATCTGAGCCTTGCAATCAGGAAGTTTCGGGTGATGTGATGGAGTGAGATAAGAAGAAGATATCAGCTGGAGTGGTCAAGTCCTTCACTTCAGCAAGTCTTTCTGACTTGCAAAGGAGCGATACGTGAATGAAGTATGCCGATAAGATGCCACAACTCCAACGTGAATGGGTTCGAAGCATTCACCGAACTTCTATGAGATTAACCGAGCATATTGCTAACAGTTAGCGGCAAGGTATCGAGGTTTAGCAACGCCCTCAACTTCTCGCTTGCCATTTCTGAAGAGTCAAAGGTGTCCTCAAAGGATTGATGAGGTCCTCATGAGACTGCTGGATAGCAGCTTACTGGCACGCTTGACTACAGGCTTCTTAAATGTCTGTAACACTGTCAAATAACACAATCTCGGTCCTTGACTCAAGAGCTATTGGGATAGAGGCAGAATATATTAAGAGCAATCGGTGACAGGCATATAACCCAGTTCGAATTACATACGTCATTGCCTGGAACTAGCATGTTTTCGTCAATGGAGATCTTCTACTCATTGACCCGTGAATGGGTTAAACAGTTATGGGCACGGGACCAGCAGGTTGTTCCCAATGAAGTCTCTCTTGTAATGGATGAGGGGACTCCTTGGGACTTTGCCTACCCGGTGAATGGACGTGATATCGATTCAATACGGCAGCCTTGGGCACGTGCCTCAAGTTATCTGGAGGTGAACAGCCCTGGGCAACCCAAGCTTGATGGCCACGTGATACCAGACGCGTATGTGAAGCTTTTGGTAGGTTCAAAATTCTGAACTGACTTTTACACCTGCATAAACACATCCCAGGTCTTTGCCATCAAGGTCTCTAACACTCCGACATAAAACAACCGCAGACCAGTTCTTCGTCTTCAAGGTGGCCATCCTCGTCTTTCTTCATTTTCCGCTCTTCCTTTATCATACTTGTCTTCATCCTTTCTTTTGCCTCGAGAAATCGCGGCCAAGCCCAGCCCAGCACCATGTCCGCGTTGACGCACGACGTACCATGCGTTCCAAGCCGTTTGGAAAGCCTTCCAAACGAGCTCTTACACCTCATTCTCGACTTTCTCCCCTCGCACTGCTATTGGCGGTTCGCTTTAACCAATTCAAAACTCAAGAGCCGCCTTGTTCCGATCCTTTTGGGAAGCTCGAAGCTCGGCCGCAGAGATGAGCTTGTTCAGATGGCCGCTCAGTTCGGTTACAATCACTTGCTGACCACGGCCCTTTCCTTCGGACCACCGAAGACCACTCTCACGACAAGCACGGTTATTCGCTGCTTCTATTACTATGCCCGTGGCCGCCAGCGTCCTGTTGGGTTCGCCGCTTTGGCCGAAGACACTCTTCCAGCCAGCACACTCAACATGGCCCTGACAAACGGTTTGGGCGCGTTTTCAATCCCCGTCATCCGCACCCTTCTTGCTGCTGGTGCCGATGACTGCACATCGCGTGTCTGGCGGAACAAATATTGCATGGAGTACCATATCGCTCTTGCCGAGCGTACACCCTTGCACGTCGTGGATAACATTCACGTTCTTGCCGTCTTACTCGAACCGGGCTCGAACTGTCTGCGCTTTCTCGACACAGTCAGCTTCACACGGTGGCCCACCCCCCTTGCAACAGCTATTGCTTCCCGCCACTCGTTTGAGTTTATCAAGATGCTCATCGACGCCGGTGCAGATGCCAGTGGTCCCCATCCCAACTATGCCACCGAACAAGAAATCATCAATGTCTATAAGGAAGAAGGAGTCGAGTACGACACCCGCTTCAGAGGCGACCTCGAAAGGGCGTTTGATAGTCACTGGCTCGGCGTGCCAGGGGATGCATACTGGCTGACGCACTTTGAGATTGCCTGTCTCTTCGGCCGCTTTGAGACAGCCGAGCTCCTCCTCCAGTCCGGCGCCTCCATCTTCGACTGCACCCGAGACAACGGTCCCCTGCGTGCCCTCGAAACGGCCATCCGCGCTTGCAACGCCTCCGGCGACGACCGCTGCGGCATGGCCTTTGTCGACCTCTTTGTGCGTAACGGCCTGGAGACTCACATCAATTCACCCCTGCTCATGGCCACGCAGTGGTTTGTCAGCGAGGCCGTCTTCATGCGCATACTCACCTGGGGCGTGAATCCCATGGTGTCTTATCTGTACCAGCACGGCGTAACGTCCCTGGCACGCTTTCTAGTCACCAACCAGAACATGTTTGGCCCAGACTCCGTCACGGCCGCCGAGCGAACCCGTCTCCGCTGCATCAAGTCCAACGCTCTCCTCGTCTGCGCTATGACTGCCGGCAACGCCAAGGCCTTCTGCCGTCGGTGGGCCATCAGCGAGGGCCTCCTCATCTTGGAGTGGGGCTTCCAGGCCGGCTTCCACCATCGCAACGCCGCTCAGGCGCCGTCCTCGCCGTCAACGGCATGGTGGAGCTGTTCGACCGGAACCTCGACCACATCCCCATCTGGCCCAAGCTCTTCTTCGAGAGCCGCGAGACCTGCCCCTACGTCGGCACGCTGCACCATGTCGTCGAGGCGGTGGAGCTCCTCCTCAAGAGCGGCATGACGGTCAAGAGGGACCGGTACGGCCGCACGCCGCTGCACTACGCCCTGCGCATCAACAGGCTCCCCGTCTATCCCATCCTGTGGTCCATCGTCATGCCCGATGTCGATGCCGAAGACATGCAGGCCATTTTGAATTGGAGAAGGGTGGCGCTCACGACGCCCCTTACATACCAATACTTTTCGGGCCAGGACTACAGACACATGGAAGTCAAGCGCGACAACAACATGATCCGCATTATTAGAGCTCTTCTCCGGGCCGGTGTGCCTGTTGGCACCAAGGACCACAGGGGTCAGACGTTTTGGGACTACGCGCATCGGTCAGGCTGGGACGAGGTTTGGCAGCGCGCTCTGGAAGGTGAGGGTTTGTATGAGAATGTACAGGATGATGGCATGCAAGACATCAGCCAGGAGAGCAATGGCATGCAAAACGATAGCACGGACAATGACAGCACACAAAGCAGCAACATGCATGAGCATAGCATGTAGAGCTGCGACATGCATTCAACAACATGCATACAACGACAAGCACAACGACGATGTGCATAGCAAAGACATACATGGAAACAATGTACATAACGACAGTTGCATTACGACGACAGTTACATCACGACGACATGCATCACGACGACATGCATCACGACGACATGCATCACAGCGAAATGCATCACAGAGACATGCATCACGATGACATGCAGAGCAATTCCATACATGGCAAGGACAGGGGGCATACAGAACAGTATAAGCAGAGTGCTTTCGAGGACGCAGGACACAATGAGCTGATGGCAGCTGAGATTGCTTCCACATGATGATTATTATGATTTGAATGAATAGCACACAATAACCAGTAGTACACAAACAAAACTGCATTTGCACCCTTCAGGTGCTATGTAAAATAGTCAAGGCCGCAACTAGCAGACAGTACTGAATCATTCATCAGGCATCAACTCTCGGGCTGAGTGAAGATCCAGGTGACCACGCTATCTGATAGGCTGATTATTCGTGATGAAGACCAGTATTGCTGCTCTGCTTCACTCTGGGGATCAAGACCCAAGAAATCGTCATGCACGCGAAGAGAGCAACCAGCATGGGCTGCAGAACACCAACGCTGTACCGTAAAGCCAATGCACCTGTGATGATGGGAAAGAACGCACCGCCCATCTGTGCAAAGAGGAAGATGAAGGAGAGGGCCGTTGACTGGATTTCGTAGGGGAAGAGCTTCGACCCGATGGAAATGCCCTGCATCGATTGTCAGTAAGTGGACTTTGACGTGGAAAATAAAAGGATTGAACGCACGGTCGCAAACAATGGTCCTGTAAAGAAACCAACCAAACTGACAGCCACCGAAGCAGCAACAATGTGCGGCACCCTAACAACATCAGTACCACGAAGTTTCTGAAGACGGCGTTGACAAAGCACTTACAGCCAAAACACCAGCTGGAACCCAAGAGCCAGGACGCAGTAGATGAACACCATCCTGCGCTCTCCAAGCCTGAATGTTGGCTCTGCGAGCAGAATCCGGCCGAGCAGACCACCGCCGCTAAAGCCAGCGGGGACGTAACCCATGTGGGCCAGGTTGCCATCACGGACCTCCACCAGGAACTCGACGATCCAGCCGACAGCCGTCAGGACGCCGCCAATGTAGAAGAAGAAGAAGGCACTGATGACCCAGACGGACTTGTTGGAGAGTGTCTCCTTGACCAGCTGAGCTGCTCCCTTTGTAGGCTCGCTTGTGCTTCCAGCCTCGGCGTTTGGCATGTTGTTCGCACCCGAGCGAGGTCTGCCTCGGAAGTGTATCGTGTCCCGGAAGGCATAGCATGTGAGTGCCAGGTTTCCTACGCCAAGAGCCAGCGGAAAGGTATAGTAGAGATACCAGTACGACGTCGTGCCGGCAGAGGCAACGGCGGTGGCTATAAAGGGGGCGACAAAGCAGCCGGCCATGTACATGGCGTGGATGAAGGCAAGCCATCGATGGGCACCCTTCGCGCCGGCCACGTATGTGTTGCAGCCGGTATCCTGATAGGCCTGTCCGAGGCAGACGACGGCGAATGTGATGCAAAAGAAGGGGAACGGAGGTTTCCAGGAACGCAGGGCATGGGCCACGACCTGGAGAGCTGCGCCAAAAACGAGAAGACCCCCTAGGCCGAACCGTTGGGTCAAGTACGTGTTTGTGAAGGCCGCGAAGAGCCATCCGAGGAAGTTGGCGCCGTAACTGAAGTCTAATGAGTGCTTGTTCCGTTAAGCACCAGGGTCAATGCGAACGTACACGATAGAGGCGACGGCTGTGCTGAGCTCGTAGTCGCGGATGAAGTATGGTACTAGGGCACCAATGCTTCCATCGTTGGTACCTGAGACGAAGAAAGAAACGCCGGCCGCCAGCAACTTGAGTTTCGTCCCACGACTGAGGCCTTGAGGTTCCTCCTCGCCAATTGCCTGGGTTCGATGTTCGGTTGGGGCAAGACGGGGTGAAGATGGCTTTGATGGGTTGGCAGAGAGGTCGTGGGAGCCATGGACCTGCACGGGCTCGAGCTCAATCGTTGTCGTCGCCATGGCAGAAGAGTAGTGGATGAATCTGGATCATTTGTGATGTCGAAGGAGTCTGGGACAGAAATATATCAACTGTCAGATGGCACGGGATTGAGATGCTGGGGTGAGCCGAGCGGAGTCTGGGGGAGGAGCGGGCCTGCCTGGTTGGGCTGCCCCGTTCCATCATAGGCTGGCGCTAGCGGAGATTCCCCGGACTCCGGGTACTCTTCGGCTGCGAAGGCATGCATCTGATAAATTGGGAAACGATGTGGGAGACACGGGCATCGAATCGACGGGCCGATGGGCCGTGGGTGCTGGGGCAAGAAGAATCTTGTCGTCGGTTCCAGATAATGGGATGTCACGAGATGATGAGATGTCACGGCCATCCATTCATATGTGGATTGGTGGCGTCCAATTTTTCAATGACCCTCCGTGATGGTTACCAATTACCAAGTCAAGGTACCTAAGGTAGGTACCTACCTGAGAAAGCTGTCTTAACTTGATAGTAGCTCACAATCCACTCCGGCGGATACCGGTGTCACTCTCGGGATCCTGACTATGATGATGACACTGATGTGGCTCGATGGCCTGCGGGTACGAACTGTCCGTCCTGTGGAACTGATAGTTTGCTAAATGCTGAGACGACGGACAGGTCTGCCAGCGGAATCTTGACAGCTTGCTCCTGATGCGCCTCTGCCCAGTGATACAAATGGTATGCCTTGATTGTAGTTGAGTCTGATATGGGACTGTTGATGGCGGATTAGAGATGGGTGATGGATTGGTGATGGGCTTGACGGACTGGAAACTGGTAATGAACTTGGAAACTGGTGATGAACTTGGAATCCGGTGATGAACTTGATGACGGACTGATCATGGGCTGGGAAATTTAGGCAGGGAGATGACTTTGATGGGGACTCTGTCGATGGTAGATGGACATCTGTCTGCTTTGGGGCCAGTACGTATTCTGAGACCTCCGTCTCTTCGTCTAACGACGGCAGACAGACATCTGATGATAACTGGTATCGTATCTTTGATGGAAAGAATCTGATTAGTATTATGGAGCGACCGAACGCACAGTTGCTACCATTGTTGGGGACCTCACGTTGGGGGCACATCCGAGTATGGTGAAATGGTTGAAGCTATCTAAGACTGTTGGTGTCGGGATGACACCCTTATGAACTGAGGTGGAGTGCTCTAATTAGCCCTAGGACTCTGGCGGAGTCCCAGTCCGCCAAGAGCCCTGGGCCAGAGCACCTTCCAAGGGTGCCCCCAACACAGGTAGGTATCAAGGTACTGCCTATGGCGTGAGACAGACCACGTGACCTTAACCTGCTTACCAAGACAACTTGTTTCGCTTGCCAGTGCATGATGGAGCCTCGTGCCCCTGAAGAAAACAGACTCCACGCCAGCACTCCGCATGAACACCAGTCCAAGCAAGACAACGTATAAGGCAATGCAGATTAAGAAACGACATGATTATCAATATCTACCGTAAGCGAGAATTGTAGGCAATTGGCTGAGAAGAACCAGCAAAATCGCTCAATGGCCCGAACCAAAACATCGATCCCGAGAAGACTGATTCGGCGGTCATTGCCTCAACCTTTCGAGGTGCACCTGATGCACCGAGTAATGGACCAGCCTTTTCCAGGCTGCAGCATTCGACACTGGAAGACGAAAAGGTTAAATCGTTCTCCTTCAGCCTTCAGGGCATTTTTAAGTATACCTGTTCGAGTCAGGCCACCCGTTGTAGAATGCAGCGGGGCCCGCTCTTTCAGCGCTTCGACAACACCATGGACAGATTTGGCCCCTTTTTCCCAGGCAGCCGCATTAAGTCTTTGACGATCCACAAGCGCATGCCGGCATGCCCCGTCGGCCAGCCTCAGAACACCCACTCATCCGCCGTACAATTCGGCTGCCTGCTACATTCATCGTCTCCCTTGCCCATACGAGCCTACTAGTCGCCAGGGCAAAAGCTTCCACACGTTCACTGCAACTTGCAGTGCCGCCCGCCGTGCCGAGCCCCTCTGAACGCTTGAGGCTGGGCCATCTTTTGTCCTGACTGGCTCGCATCAACTTGTGGTATGCATAAGTCATAGCGCCGAGGTCGAAAATGTGTTTAGAAGCGACTCCTCCCTTAAGTTGGCCGTCTGTTGTTCAACCTCATCTTCCTCGTTCGTTTTGCTCGGTACAGTTTGACAGTGACTCCTCATGTGCGCCTGAAGTTCATTCTGCATCGGTTTTTGCTTTCTGCAGCTGTCATCATGTCTTCAGGTATTCGGCTCTGGGTCCGACAGACCCAGGCCTTGACCAACAAGATCTTCCTCATTACACTAAAGCGACATTTACTTTCGACTTTGATACGAGCTCTCGTCATTCCTATTCTAGTTGTCTCTCTGACATTGGGACTCCAAAAGTCCACATCATCAGGCAACAGGTTTGGCGTCGGCAGCCCGTCACCCGCTGTGACACTATCCGACGTCATCCCTAACAACGCGAAACTCTTCTTCATCCAGTCCGCCGACGCAGGTAGCGATGTCTCGGCAGCCATCAAGACCATCACCGATTCCCTCACGAGGAAGCCGATCGTGCAGGTCCTACAGAGCGACGACGAGCTGGAGCAAAAGTGTCCGACAGACATCAACGGCCGCACAGACTGCTACGCCGCCGTCACCTTCAACGATTCCCCCCTCAGCAGCAACGGCGCCAATCAGTGGAACTATACCCTCCGCGTCAGTTCCTCCAAAGTCCCCTCCGGCTTTAATGTCTTCAAGTCGAACAAGGCGGCAAAGAATCCTTATGCTCCGCTGCAGCTTGCCGTGGATCAGGCCATCACCAACTCGACGACCGTTCCGGATATGTTCATGTATACGCGGACGACACCGGATGATGATGCCACCCAAAGGCGCAAAGACCTCATCAGCGGCATGTTTTCGGGGCTCAATGTCGTGTGTTCATCAGCATGCTCTCTCTCGTCTATCACATGGTCGGCATGATAGCCGACGAGCGCGAGTCGGGCATGGCACAGCTCATAGATGTCATGGGCGGTGGTGCTGCTGCCGCTCGCGTCGTGAGCTACCTCATTGCTTTCAACATTATCTATCTCCCTTCGTTTATCATCATGGGTGGAGGTCAGTTTTGGCAGTGACCCACGTCTCCCAGTCTCCTTCCCAACTGACCAACTCGATCAGTCTTCTCTAGTCTCCTCTTTCCATCCTCGAGCGCAGGAATCCCCATCCTCTGGCAAGTCCTTACTGGCTTGGCCCTTACCAGCTCTTGTGTTTTTGGTGCCACATTTACCGTTCGATATTCCGCCATCTGCGCTGTCGCCGCCATCGTTGGCATGGCTGTCTATGCCATGTCGATGGACACATTGAAGTACCCCATCGACTCATCAACCGCCATTGGCTTCTCCATCGTCTTTCCCAGCTGCAGCTATATCATTGTTCTCAACCTGATGGCTCGCTTTGAACGAATCGGAAGGCCGATCGATATCTTCGCATCAGCGCCTATGAACGGAATTGACATGGAGGTTGAAATGGGGATTGAAATGGCCACTATTGGAACACTCCTTGGATACCTCGTGTTCACCATTGTCGCCTTTCCTTTGGCAACCATCCTCATCGAGAGATGGACCCAGGGAATTAGCAACAAGGGTCGCAAATTCAGTGGAGGAGGCCAGGCAGATAATGGGACAGCCCTACAGGTCAAGAGCCTGACGAAAAAGTACAGTTCCCCACTTTGGAAGCGCATCTGCTGCTGTTTCTGCTGCGGCCGGAACCGCCCCTTTGTTGCCGTGGACAACCTGGACTTTACAAGTCAGAAGCAACAAGTCCTTTGCCTGTTAGGTATCAATGGATCAGGAAAGACAACAACCATGGACCTCATCACTGGAAGGCAGAAACCCACGAGCGGGGTGATCGAGATCAACGCCGCATCGTCACAGATTGGTAAGCCCTATCGCTCCTCGTCCCGAACTTGAGCACCGCTGACTTTGACATCAGGCTTCTGCCCGCAACGAAACATACACTGGGGGGAGTTGACTGTTTTCGAACATGCCTACATTTGGAACATGATCAAGGGAGGGTCGGCAACAACAGCAGAGCTGGAACAACTCGTCGACTCATGTGATCTGAGACATAAAATGAACAGCCAGGTTGCCACCCTGAGTGGAGGGCAAAAGCGCAAGGTGCAACTTGCATGCATGCTTGCTGGAGGAAGCACCATTTGCCTCATGGACGAGGTGACTACTGGCATGGTAGGATGACACTGTCTTGGCACTCATTAATCCGAACTAACCATGAATAGGACCCTGTCTCTCGACGAGCCATCTGGAATATCGTCCTTGCCGAGCGGTCGAGGCGATCCATGATTCTGACGACACACTTCCTCGACGAGTGTGAGGTCCTCGCCGACCAGGTTGTGGTCATCTCGCGCGGCCACCTCAAATGCCACGGGTCGCCAGCCGAGCTGAAGAACATGCACGGAGGAGGGTACCGTGTTCGCGTCCCCCAGGTCAACAATGTCCCCCAGACCAGCTACCCGATGGCTGTCTACCAGGGCGAGACGATTTATACCGTTCCGGACTCGACATCTGCCACCAGACTTCTTTCATCACTCGAGGCTACTGGACTGTCTGACGTTTTGGTTACCGGTCCGACCATTGAAGAAGTTTTCCTTCGCGTCGCCAACGAGCCCGAAGCGCTCGAAAAGAGGGGCACAGGCCTGTCTGATCTCGCACCCTTGACCATAAGTGGCGAGGCAACTGATGGTCAGCTATCCTCCGGCACAAGCACCACGTTCCTGCAGCAGCTCATGGCACTTACGATCAAGCGTCTGACAATATTGCGAGGCAATTACTGGTGGTATATACTGGCCTTAGTCATCGCTTTGCCGTTCTCGCCAACCTTCACCTCGATGCTGAAATCGACAGACATGGACTACAACACCGTCCCGTATGAGCTGCCTTCCTGCAGCGACTTTGAGCCATCCTTTTTCGACCTGCCGTCCGCCGTCACTCTATCGTACTACGGAAATAAGAAAGCGGGAGATGTCTCGATGATCATTGGCCCACAGTCGGCACGAGACAGTGTTTTCCGTGCCGTCGACAAGTTTCCCATCGGTCGAACGATTAATACGACGGACTTTGACTCCAAATACATTTTCCAGAATGACTACGACAGTTTCTTAAAGCGTGTCCACGACAATGCTTCGAGTATTCTGCTCGGTGCGATCTACATGGGCGACGGATCTGCGAAACCAACAATCGCTTACAACACTGAGCTCGGCTACGACTCGCCCGTGACGATGCAGAGCCTCTGGAACCAGGCACGAAGCGGAGTACCCATCGAAATACAGCTCGCATTTTTCACAACCTCCTCTCCTGTTCGTCATCATCCTTGTATCATCAACCATCTCTTTAACTACGTACTGATACTACTCCTAGGTCGACGCTGATGCAGGCCAGCTTCCTGCAACTGTAGGTGCTCCGCCTCTCATCTGTTGTGATTTGTGCTGACAACACCAGCTCCTTGCTCTCATGCATTCGGTCTACCCTGCTTTCTTCGCCCTCTATCCCGCGTTTGAACGAATTCAAAAGATCCGAGCCCTCCAGTACTCCAACAACGTCCGTCCCCGCCCACTCTGGGTCTCTTACATCATGGTCGACATCGTCATAGTCACCATCGTCGCCGCGCTCGGCACACTTGCCTTGGCTATGGATGTGAAGAATTGGTACCATCCAGCCTTCATATTCCCGATCATGTGGCTCTATGGCATCGCGAGCATGTTGTGGTGCTACATCATTTCTCTGTACACCGTGGCGGAGCTGGCCGCCTTTGCTTTTTCCGTTTGCATCATGGTTGCTGCGTTTGTCGTAACCATCGTCAGCTTCTCGGTACGTTGGCACGTTCTCCGTGAGTCTTCTCTTGCTGACCATGTAGCTTGCCATCGACAACCCCAGCTTCGACCACCCCAACCTCGTCATCGACGCCGTCTCCTATTCTTTAGGCCTGCTATTCCCCATCATGAACCTTTACCGAGCCCTTGTCGTCGGCCTCAACGTCTGGCTTGTCACCTGCCGTGACTTCAAGCTCATCGCCAACCCAGGGTCATTCAACGCATACGGCGGTCCCCTCGCTCTCCTCATCGTCCAGGTGCTCTACCTATTCCCCCTCCTGCTATGGCTCGACGGAAGAAACACTTTCTCCATGCCATGGGGCAAGAAGAAGCTCGTCGACAGCGAAGAGTCCGTCTCCGGCGCGCCGCAGGATATCGAAATGAAGAGCATGCGAGTAGCCAGTTCGGAGAAGAACCTTCTCTCAGTGGAGCACGTCTCAAAGTCGTTCAAAGGCAAGCGCGCCGTTGACGACGTGTCGCTGGCCATGACCGAGGGCTCCGTGATCGCACTGCTCGGCCCCTAACGGTGCCGGGAAGACGACCCTGACAAACATGATGCGCGGCGAAATGGTGCCTGACTCGGGCCGTATCTTCGTGCAGGGCCTCGATGTGCAACAGGACACGCAGGCTGCGAGGCGGCATATTGGCGGTACGTCTGGCGTTTCTGGCAAGGGTTATGGAGCGTTCGCTAACGAATCAAAGTCTGTCCACAGTTCGATGCTCTGGACAAAATCACGGCCAGGCAACAATTGGAGTTCTACGCCCGCATCAAGGGCATCAAAGACATGAAGCGCGATGTCGATTTTGTCATGGCTAGGGTGGGGCTGACGCCGCATGCCTCTCGTCTCACACATAAACTGTCTGGCGGCAACAAGAGGAAGCTGAGTCTCGCGATTGCACTCTTAGGTATACCGACTCCTCGTTGCTCACGTATCCAACGCTAACAAGTCGCACAGGCAACCCCGAGGTTCTCATTCTGGACGAGCCGAGCTCCGCAATGGACGCCATCGCGAAGCGCGAGATGTGGAAGATGCTGTCATCCATTACGCCAGGACGTTCTGTTCTCTTGACGGTACAGCTAATCACGAGCCTTTCGAGCCAAAAACGAGATGCTAATGTCGACGATAGACACACTCCATGGAAGAAGCAGACGAGCTTGCGACTCGCGTGGCCATCATGTCCAAACGCGTCCTCGCCATCGGCACAAGCCAAGAGCTCCGCCAGCGCTACAGCAACGTCTACGACGTCCACCTCGTCCTGACAACAGCGCCAGGCTCCACGCGCAGCGAGATGCACAGCATTGAGTCCTGGGTGCACCAGGTGTTCCCGGAGGCGTCCTTTGACGCGGCCAGCCTTGGTGGACAGGTGCGGTTCGTCATGCCCGTCGGGGCCGGGCCTTCGCCTGATGGGAGGAGCACGGTGAGAAGGTTGATGGAGACGCTGGAGGAGCAGAAGGTGAACCTTGGGCTCGCCCATTATACTGTTGGAATGGGCACTTTGGAGATGGTTTTCTTGAATATCATGAAGGACAGCGGTGCGGCGGAGGAGGAAGAGCAGGACAGGCCCAGCCCGAGAAGAAAGGGGTTGAGGCGACTGGTGCCGGCATTTAGGTCGGGCAGACTCTCCTTTTAAGCTAGACGAGCATTTTCGTAACATTTTCCTTTTTTCGATTTTTATTGGATCATACCTGCTTGTCTTCAAACATGACATTCCATAGTGTTTACGCCAGCCAGACCGTCATGCCTGCTGTGACCCGTTGAAAGTGGTCTGTCCCAATTCCTTGAGATGGGGTCTCTGACAGGACTTCCATGTAAATGGCTTCATCGCCGTCCACAAACTTGGTCACAAATCCCTGCCCATTGTCGTCTGTCCGACCCTTCCACTATCCGGCTTTCTTTGAGAGACCAACCCTCGACGGTCATGGACAAGACGACATACACAGAGTTGGTAGGTTGAGCGGCGGCAGCCCACATGTGGGAGATCATGGTGCCATCCTCGACAAAGTCTCAGGCAAGACTGGCTGCGGTCGTCTCGAGGCTTGGCGCTTCATTTACCGTGATCTTGGTGGTTTAAAGCGATACGATGTGTCGGTGAAGTTGACGAGGGCCAAGTCGGATGCTGTGTGCGCTTCTGCCCGGATTGCATTGCCATTGGCGCCTTCCATAGAAGGCAATGTAATAGGTGATGATGATTAACGGGAATCGAAGCGCAGCGTGCACCATCCGTGAAAGTCAATGGGAAGCAAGACGCAAGAATTGGTCAACCCCTGTGGCCGTGGGCAGCCTTCGTCATGGCCCTGGAAAGTTCTGGTGCTGCATCCAGAGTTCTTGGCGTATGGGGAACTGCTCTCAAAAGGCCCTTGTATCGTATAGACCAGGTTGGGGCCTCAAAGAAACCTTTGGCAGCCAGCAAACATCATGCAGCGGGGCTTTCGTGGGAGCTCGGCAACAGCATGAGGGTTAGCACATGCCCAGGGATCGTGAATCCATCATCTCATGCGCCACGGGAGCCAGTAGGTCCAGGGATTGCCTTTTAAGCCAGAACCCATCATTTCCCTCAAAATCAAGTCCTCTTAGCATGCGCGCGCGTGGACTCGACTTGTTCGCGACACGCGCGCGGGAATTCTGCATCAAAAGTAAAGGTTGTCTCTCGACTTGGCCAACGTTTCTGCTTTGCTCATGCCCATTTCCGAGTATGTACTACCATCATACTCTGACAGCATGTCGATCGCGGCCCCTGCATCCGCCTCGGCGGCTGTGAACTGCGTGATGTCCATCAAGGTCTCGTCCGGCAAAGGAGATGCGATGGTTGGCGATACACTTCGGGGGATGGCTGGATCGACTGGGATCTCATCTGCCCTCGCCGCGCTTCCCGACGCCGAGGTCTTTGACTGATACCAAGAGAGGAGGTCGTCGCTTGTCCGCAGGGGTGTGTTGTCCCACTCGGTGACGCGGTCGACTTTGTTCTGCCTTGGCGTCCAGGAACTCGACGAGGGAGCGGGCCCCGCCATGGCTGCTTCGAGGGACTGGCTGTCTACGATGCTGGCGAGGGTTCGAAAGAGGGCTGATTCGGTTTCTGCGAGCCTGTTCTCGAGCTTTGTTAGGTAGCCAAACGGGATTCCCCTGACAGGCGTCAGTTTTGGTACACTCGTGTCTAGAATCCGAGGAAGGTTTTACCGTTTGCTTTTCTCAGGGTAATGACATTTTGAAGGGTGTGCATGGCACTGGGAGCAGTATGGTCTGCGGGAGGAAGAGTGTTGTGTTAGTTGTTGCCTTTGAGCCTCAGATGAGGATTTCGTGTTCAGAGAAAGAATGAACTGACAGCTTTCGGTCACACTGATAAGGTCGAGATCATTAGCTGCTAGTACCTCATTCCCGGGGCATACTGGGGGAAGCGACCAGGCCAGGGGTAAGACTGGTTGGCGGTAGATCAGGGGATTCCGTGAGGAGAACGACATGGGGTGGTTAACATACCCCGCGCTTCCGCTGGCGACAGGATTCACACGCTATGGGGCTCAAGGTAATGCCTTCTTGGCTGGATCTAGGGTCCGCCATGGTTGGAGGATTTGGCGGGATCCAGGCAGTCCAGTCCGCCTGTATTTGAGGCAGGAGAAAGTCAGGTCCGGGCGGAAGATAGTGCGGAGGCGGGAAGATTTCAGGGGAATATGGGGAGGTCGCCGGAGTTTCCTTTGTCCGCACCATGCAGGAAGTCTGTGCCAACAATTGGCTGGGCGGTCCGAGTCCCACGTCACAGCCATGCCTATCACGTGCTGCCAGCTGGATGCGTCTGGGTGCTGCACCAACCCCCGTCTCTTGGACGACTTCAACGATTCCTTCCCTGCCTTACCTCGCACGATATTCCTTTGGCCGTCTGCCGGTTGCACATCAATGACAAACCCTGTTCGACATCCACTCGGCCGCCAGGATCTTATCAATCGTCTTGCTTGATGCCGCAGAGGGAATGAAGGCCTGAGAGCTGCGCTTGTCGCGTGTCCAACAGCGACAAGGGCTCCAGATCCGCCGATTTGGCATCGCCTCCACCAAAGACTGCAAGACGGAGACTGTGGTCCTTAGCCTGGGCCCTCCAACTACCGTCGGAAGAGTTCAAATCCGCTTGGATTTCTGGAATCGCACATCAGCGTCGTAGTCGACATGGAAGGCATTGAGTCTCCCGTCGCCTCCTCCGAGTCGGGTACTTTCGGACCAAGTCCTGCCCAGTCACACCTCAACCAGTCACGCAAGCGCAAGTTCTCCCAAGCTGTCGATCCGCCTGCTCGAGAATATGGCCTTATGCGAGACACGGGACGTCATGATACCTCAAGGTTCGTTGGTAGTGCCAGTGGCATCCACTTCATCCGGGGCGTGTACCTCCGCCTCTCACGCAAATCTGCATCCAGAGCTGGTAGCGCTGCAGGCATCAACCATCTTGTACCAGGAGAGGACGATCAGCTCCAACCAGGGCGGACTTCTCCTGATGGAGGCCAGCAATATCTCTGGAAAGATCATGAAGTCGCTTCCGAAGCGGGATCTACAGAGTCATGGCCGAGCTTCGAGCTCCTCGTCACCTGGTCCAGAAGCTACTTCCAAGCATGGCATCCCACCCTGCCGTTCCTGAGTGCACCTGAAGTCCTGGCCATTTTCGAGAAAGTCAGCAACAGCGGCATATCGTCCGTCAGTCATCTCGAGCAATCAATACTTCGTTCCGTCTTCTCTATATCACTGGCAGACAGCAGACAGTCGGCTCCCTTCAGTGAGCCCCTTCCGCCGTCACTTGTCTTCAACACGATTGAGGAAGCCATGTCAGCGTCCCAGTTTGCCCTCTACCAGCCAGCCTCACTGCACGCGACACAAGCAGCACTCAGCATCCAATTGTTTCTCATGTCCATGCTCCGACTCAATGCGGCTTCCCGCCTTGGAGGCTTGATTGTACGCATGGCATTTCACCTTGGCCTTCACCGTTGCCCGTCCCGATACCCATTCTTCACAAAGCAGGAAGCGCACATTCGACGTCGTGTCTTCTGGTCGATATACTGCAACGAACGCTTTCTCTCCCAGTCTCTGGGTCTCCCGCTCGATATCAAGGATGATGATGTCGATGTTTGCTACCCAGGGGAGGAAATACACTCGACACACGTGGAGACCGAAGACAACCGGCTGCAGCTCCTCACATACTTGTCCAAGCATGCACGAATACGAGGTCTCATTCTTGAGTTGCGAAACAAGTCGGTTTCCAGCCGCGACGACACACCAACGCATGAAAGCTACGTCCAAGCAGAAATGGCCCGCTGGTCAAACGAGATTCACGATGCACTTGAAGATGAAGATGGCGACGGCGAGCAGCCCGGTGAGGACAACACGGAGCCAGCACTTTCTCCTGGCCATCGCATTTACCTTTCGTTACTGAAATTTGAGTCTAAGATCTCTCTCAATCGACCGATGATGGCATCCGATCCTTCCAGTGGCTCCTACTGTGCAGGCCTCCAAAACTGCATCTTCGCAGCCAGATCAATCTTGATCGCTCTTAAGAAACATCAGTCTCGCCATAAAACCAAGAGCAAAGACGGGAACGCCTTGTCTGACCCAATACTTTGGCCTACGATCACAGGCGCCATATGGATCAGTTCTTTCATCCTGATCTATGCGGCATCTGAGCGGCAACTACCATTATCAAGCGCATTGCGGTTCGTCGTTCCTATTGATTACCTGTTAATGCTTAACTGACAAATTTTCATCCAGACATGTCAAAGCAGGGAAGGATATGCTCCGCCATATTGCTGCTCGAGAAACAGCTTGGCCGGAATACTGTTTATCTGCAATTGACGAGTTGACTGCGGCTGTGCGGGAGGTAACCATTCCCAACCCCGTGCCGGGTAATGCCCCGCCAGGTGCGCGGCACCCAACCTCGCAACAGCAGTCTCGAGGGCAGGGCAACTCTACAGGTCGAAGCCGCCGTTCTGACTCCACATCTATTGCTCGTCCGGCTTCTGCCCATCCTCGTCGGAGTACGGGCTTCTCGCCCACACTGGCTACTTCTTCCGGCATGCCTGATGATCCATCCACTAGTGCGACGAACACGCGAGAGAACGGAGCTGACAACCTGTTCTTTGGGGAGAGGAATCACGACAGCAGGCCGCTGAGGAATGACCATGGCGAGCCACTCCAGTGGCGACAGCCGGCCGGCTCGACCACGTCTCCCCTCAACCCAGACGCGTGGCAGATGCGAGCTCCTCAGCAAGAGCCCGGCGGGCCAGGTCGCACAACGACGTCCGGTCTTGGTGGGGAGCAAATGTCCGCAACCGTAGCAGGCGGACCGTTTGCACTCCCACAGCAGGACTTGCTGCCCGGGGAAGGGCAAGAGTCAATGGTCTGGTATGATCAGCTGTTCGCAAACTCGCTCGGCGCTATTGACTATCCGTACATGGCGGCGGCACAGTTTGACTCCTCTATTGACCCAACCTGGTCATATCTACGATAGTTGTAATTCTAAGCGATACTTTCAGAGGCTAGCGCAGCTATCAATAGAGCTGTCTCGACCTCGATGCCTATTTCTATCGTATCGAGACGGCCACGGTAACACTCGAATACATTTCTCGGTAAGGGCGGAGCGATACAAGACCGAGTGATGACCTTGGAGGCGCCAATTCGAAACTCAAGCGAAAGAGCTTCTCGCTTATCGAACACACAGAGTGGGCAGTCAGGGCAAGCGTCGTGGCTTTACTTCCATGTCAAGACCAACACAGCGTCAAGCAGCAGGGCTACGCATCGCTGCCACCATTTTCACACGCAACCAGCATTCATGAAATCAAGCCAAGTGAAAAACGCCTTTAAATCTATTCCAATCTTCAAAATCCTCGCAGTACTTCTATCCAAGCATGACATGCGCAAGGTGAACATCGGCAGCCGGACGAATCGTCCAAATCCCCACGAACCCCGTGATACGACCGATGCCACGCATGCAGAGCTGTGCTAATAAGCAAAGCGCATACCCGACGTGTTTCCCGCGCGGTCCATCTTCTTGTTCTCGTGAATGAGCCAGAACCGCAGTCCCCAGGTGCCGGCGATGCAAGCAAACGCAAACGCGGCGTTGCTCGCCATGGCGGTGAGGTAGCGCGGGCCGTCGCTCTTGGGGTAGAGGTAGGCGGTGTAGATGTACGAGGCGTTGGCGACGACGTTGACGATGGACAGGCTGACGGCCTTCTTCTCGGGGGTCTGGCCCAGCGTGGCCGAGACCCATCCGAGGACCATTGAGTTGATCGAGTAGGCGCCGCCGGCGAAGAGGAAGCACGAGACGTAGCGCGCGGCGACGTTCATGGTGGCGCACGAGATGACGAAGCCGACAATGGCGATGCCCATGCCGATGGTGATGTGCCAGGTGCGCTCGTTGAAGCGGCCGGACGACATGCCCCAGAGGTAGCCGAAAATGCCGGACACGAGGTAGGGCGGGCACGTCAGGACGAGGGTCATGGTGCGGTCGAAGCCGAGCGAGCCGACGACGGTCGGGAAGAAGTTGTTGAAGGAGCAGGCGCTGAGGTGCATGTTCTGGATGAAGCAGAGGGCCCAGAGGCGCGGGTCGCGCACGGCCTGCATGAAGCCGGCCTTGGCGCCCTTGCTCTCCTCGAGGCCGACCGTGTCGCGCAGCATGCGGTCGTGGGCGAGCTGGCGCTGCGCGGGCGTGAGCCAGCGCGTCGTCAGCGGGCTGTCGGCGAGGGTGAACATGCCGATGATGGCGACGCCAAAGGTGACGCAGCCCTCGATGATGAAGAGCCACTTCCAGCCGGCGAGGCCGTGGTTGCCGCTGACCGTGTTGTAGACGGCGGCGGCGATGAGGCCCGAGAAGGACGTCGCGAAGATGTTGCCTGAGTAGAGGATGGCGAGGCGCGTGGCGATCTCCTTGCGCGTGTAGAAGATGGACAGCATGTACAGGGCGCCGGGGTAGAAGGGGGCTTCGGTGATGCCGAGGAAGAAGCGGACGGCCACGAGGCCGGCGTAGTTGTGGACGAGGGCAGTGCAGGCGGAGACGACGGCCCAGGTCATCATGCAGACGCCCATGTAGATGGATGGCCGGACGTACTTGGACGACATGAGCATGTTGGAGGGGACCTGCATAAGGAGGTAGCTGTTGGGAAAGTCAGCAATGGTGGTTCTTGCAGGTGTTTTTGAGTGCTTTGAAACTGACCCGACGAAAAGGATGGAAATGCACGTGTTGTACTGCGATCCAACAAGACCGAGATCGTCTTCGAGTCCGTCAAGTCTAGCCTGGGCAATGGCATTTCGGTCGAGCTGAGACACAGTGTTAGTTCGCACACCAGGTCAAAAGACTGCGGACGCAACTGACGTAGTTGAGAAAGTACATGGACCACAGCGTGGGCATGATGTGCCAGTCAAGCTTGCGCACAAGGGCAATCTCCTCGGGGCTCGTCTTCTTGACGGCGCCAGAGTAATCAGCGCCCTCGCGGGCCAGGCCGTCCTCGGGATCGCCCTTCATGATCGAGGCCTCGACAAAGTTGTCCATGGGCTTGTCGGAGTCGCGCAGCGCAGCCTGGTGCTTCTCTGAAGACATGTTGAAGAGGCAACGGAGGGAAAAGTGGAGGGGTGGGAGAATGACGGGCTCAAGGGATGGTATGAGAACTGGAGGCGATAGACTGGAAGCCGAGTTGTCCTGCGTCCTGACCGAGGAGCAAGAACCCCAGATTCCAGGAGGATGGGCAATGTCTTATACCTGGGGCGGAGATCAGAGCTTCCCCGGAGTTTCGTTGACATGATCCTGGGGTGCGCGGGAGACGAGTTGCGTAGCAGGCAGACTACCCCGGACTGCGAACCTGGGAGGTTTCAATCAGCGCTCGGCGTGGCTGTCTCTGCGGAGGTTGACTCGTCCGTGTGCCGCTCGTCTGTGGCGTGTTCCCCGGCCTTCGGAGACGATCCATCGTGCTATTGATGCGGGGAGTTGGGGGCCGGCTCGTGGGGTAGCCCCTGTCGGACGAGTCATCCACCTACCGGCGGTGTAAAACAAGCATGTGTCATGGTGCAAGTCTTTTCCAAAGTCTTTTCGGATTCGGGACCGCATGTGCGGGGAATGTCTGGGGCTAGACGATCTGTCCTCGACTAGGCCCTCGAGGGGCGAGTGGTCGACTTCGTCGCAGCTTGATTTGCCCGGGTCGAAGAATATTTTGTGGTGGGTATGCATCACCATGCATGGTTTGTTGCCGAGTTTGTCATGGCGAGGCCTGTTGAGGCGAAGAATTATCCATCTGCATCTGGGGTAGAGCGTTGCGTATTGACATATCAGACCCTCATGTTCTGTAAATAATCTCATGTCATGATTTGAGGTTATGCAGGTTCCTGCCTATTAGGGATTCATTGTGTTCACAAGGTTGGTCCGCTTCCCCGGACAGAGTCTCTTGGGTGTTACATTGTGGAGGGGTCCAGATGATCTTGCACAGCGACGACGGCCTCATTCACAGCAGATTGGTCAGGTTGGATCTACTTCATATACACTAGGCGCAAGTCACCCACGCGGCCCCGAGAGTGTGTGTGTGAGGATTGCAGCGTTTTTAAGGACCTCGTAAGTCAAGCTTCAACTCGGCATTTTCTCGATCCGCTACGTGATCCGTCACTGCAAGCGGCACTGACACATCCGATCCTGTCAAAGCCAGCAAAGTCCTCCGCTTCGATATCTGGTCTGAGTTTTCCATCAAATGTCCGCTTACGTTTCGGCATGAGCTCTGAATGCTGAAAGTTGCTACGTCATTAGAGTGGTGAGGTGAAAATTCCACGAGGTCCTCGGTCTCAGGGGCCAAGTTGACATTGTTGTCATGTTCGAGTACTGCCCACCAAGCATTGTGATTGTGTCGATTGACTCGTCTCTGCCTTGACGGCCAAAACAGTTCAACTACCTGAAAAATGAATTGGACAGGACTTTCGGCATAAATAGCGAGAACCATGTTCTATTGGGAACTTGGGGGGCGAAACGTGCAGCGCAGCGCCTGGGCAATCAGCTATGAATGTGGACCTACTGAAGCCAAAGCTACCATGTTCCGACGGCCGGGCAAACGCATTTGTGGTGGAATAACGCGGAAACAAACTGCACAGGCAACTCATTGGCAGCCAGTTCTTGAAAGCTGACCTCTCGCCATGTCCGCAAGGCGGAAGATGGATAGGCCACGGGGTATTCTTTGCCCGCGGGCTTTTCTTCCTGCGGGACCCGTCATCCCCACACCTCCAACGCGCTCCGCACGTTGTCCGGCTCCCCCGCAATTGCGGTCCCCGGAACTTCATGTTGGTGCCGGTCGTTGTCAGGAGGACGATTGACGATCAACCATTACAAAAGAGATCGTGTTCAATACGTTTTCCCGTCTAAACTACCTCCTCACCAAACATTCCACTGTCGAACCACTTTCACGGATACCCTCCAAGCACACAGACACAGTATCCTCCGTAGTCAGTCTCCTTCGACGCCAACATGTCTCCCAGCGCCGTCCCCGCACGCAAGTCGTACAGCATCGCCTCCATGGGCGCCGATGGCATCGGCCCGGAGGTCGTGGATGCTGGTGTGGAGGTGCTCAAGGCCCTCGCCGAAACACTCGACTCGTTCGACCTTGACTTTACTGATTACGACTGGAGCTCCGAGACGTACAAGAAGACGGGCAAGTACATTCCCGACGGCGGCCTCGAGCAGCTCAAGAAGCACGATGCCATTCTCTTCGGCGCCGTCGGCGCTCCCGATGTTCCTGACCACATCTCCCTCTGGGGTCTCCGTCTCGCCATCTGCCAGCCCTTCCAGCAGTACGCCAACGTCCGCCCCACCCGTGTTCTGCCCGGCACGCAGTCTCCCCTGCGCAACTGCAAGACTGGCGACCTCGACTGGGTCATCATCCGCGAGAACAGCGAGGGAGAGTACGCCGGTCAGGGCGGCCGCTCTCACCGCGGCGAGCTCTGGGAGACCGCCACCGAGGTGTCCATCTTCACGCGCCACGGTGTCGAGCGGCTCATGCGCTTCGCCTTTGAGACCGCCCAGAACAGGCCGCGCAAGCTCCTCACCGTCGTCACCAAGAGCAACGCCCAGAGGAACGGCATGGTCCTGTGGGACGAGGTCGCCGCTATTGTGGCCAAGGACTTCCCCGACGTCACGGTCGACAAGATGCTGGTCGACGCCATGACCACGAGGATGGTCCTGAAGCCCGAGACCCTCGACACCATTGTCGCCACCAACCTCGTAAGCATTCCAACCCCTTGCCGCACTGCTAGGAATCTATTATGAACAGTAACAGCACGCCGACATTCTCTCCGATCTCGCCGCTGCCCTCGCTGGCTCCATCGGCATCGCGCCAACCAGCAACCTCGACCCCTCGCGCCAGAACCCTTCCATGTTCGAGCCCATTCACGGCTCCGCATTCGACATCACAGGCAAGGGCGTCGCCAACCCCGTCGCCACCTTCTGGACCGCCGCCGAGATGCTGACGTGGCTCGGAGAGAAGCAGGCCGCCGACCAGCTGATGGCGTGCGTCGAGGCCGTGTGCCAGGCCGGCATCAACACTGCTGATCTCGGCGGCTCGGCCACGACCAAGGAGGTCACGGCGGCTGTCATTGCCGAGATCAAGACGAAGCTCGGCAAGGCGACAAAAGCAGCGCAGTAGAGCGGTGGAGCAACGTGTATGAATTAGATGATTATGAGCTCTTGATAGATTGACCAATCCCCGCATCCCGCAGATTGAAACACAGTGTACCCGCCGCAGGCCTATCCGCTACTTGAACGTGAGGTTCTTGACGTGCTCATTGACATAACGTACATGATAAGCGAGTGGCGCAAACAAGCGAGTGGCGCGCAACACCACAACCAGGCGACTATCACCCCCAATAAGTCGACCAAAACACCTGGAATCAATTGAAATCAATCGGAATCGCCTTCCTCAGACAATTTCACTACTATCTGACAACTTCGTGCGTTATGTCCTGTCTTGCCGCAGACACCACAGCGCCGTTCCTTCACCTTTGTCCTCGACTTGCGACCGCTACTTTGTCTCTTTTCCTGCCTCACCTGCGCATCCACCTCCTTCTGGGCCTGGATATCCTGTCCCTCAGATAGCGTCATGCTCCCTCCCTTTCGGAGACGTGACTTTTTGGCCCTTCGACGCCGGCTGAGTATCTCATTCTCCTCTCGAAGGATCCGGTTCTCAGACTTGAGCAGGGCAATCTGATGCATGATTCCCCGCGCCCCCTTCGAAAGCCGGTCGACAGCTTCATAAATAGATGTCGGCGAGCTATTCTGATGACGGGAGATTCGGCCCTTGATGAAATCCGTCTGAGAGCTCGCTTCAGTCGGGTTGTTTGGCGTCTTAGAAACCCAAGGTTCAGGCGTTCCACGACCCCGCTCCACAGGTGTCGGCGTCCGTGGCTTTACATCCAGTCGGGAAATCACGGCTTCAGGGTCAATCGGAGCAAGTCCTGCGCCTCGAAAACCTCCCTGGATGTTCCTTTCCGTCATTGCCTCCTGGAATGCCGCGAAAATTGCGGGAAAGAAGTCCTCCTTGGTGATGTGGCTTGTACCGGCCCTCATCTTCTTCTCGATTTGCCGTCCATACGCTTGCTTGAGCGGGCCAAAACAGCCAACATCCAGAGGTTGGAGTATATGAGAAGAGTGAGGAGGCATACAGAGCGTGACGACGTTGTTCTCCTTGCAGTAGAGTTCGAAGTCCGTCGAGTGGTGACTTTCGTGGCCGTCCAGGATGAGGAGGCGATATTTGCCTGAAGAGCGCGGTTTGGTGTGCCTGTCAAAATGCCGAATCCATTCCAGCCCTCTCTCATTAGTGGTCCAGCCGTTGTCAGACGTGGAGATCACCCAGTCTCGCGGTAGAGCGCTGTTCTCGTACCAGGTCGAGAGGTGGTATTTGCCAGAAACGATGATGTATGGGGGGACCGTCCAGCCTTGGGAATTGACGCCCTGGATCACGGTAACCCATTCCCGATTTCCAGGCTGGGCTAATTTCGTGTTGGAACGCCTGCCTGCACTGGTGACGACCATGCCTGTCGAGATGATGCCCATCATAAAGCCGGTCTCGTCGAAGTTGTTCATATCCGACTCCGCGACGCCGTACTTCGCGATTGTATTCCGTACAAGCGCAAACCAGCCAAGAATGATCTCCGGATCTTCACACCGGGCCCTCTTGTAGTCGTATCTGCGAAAGAAACGCGTCCGGAGCTGCGGTTGTCGCTTTACGAAGTTAGAGGCCCAGCGCTTCCCGACGCTGGGCGCGTCGCGCTCGGCGAGCAGTCGATTGGCCATATCTTCCACTCCACGAAGCCGCGGAGGGAACGATCGCGCATCTAGGTCCAGGACATATTGAACAATTGTCATTTCCTCCAGATCTGTCAAATTCCGCGATTTGGGCGTGGTATCGCGTCGTGAGGACCGGCCGTTGAGCCGGCGACGAAGTGTCGTTTCCGGGACGCTGTAGATTCTAGCTGAAGCTCGGACCTTGAGATTTGGGTCATTCTGGATAGCCCGAATGGCTAGGATCAATTGGCTCTCTTGGGTTCCTGACTCCATTGTTTGTAGTAGAGAAAAGCGCGTTTGAATGGGGAAAGTCGCGTAGTCGCGGTCCCGTGCGCCACTCGCTTGTTTGCGCCACTCGCTTATCATGTACGTTACATGGGGAAGAAATCCGAGGTGAGGTACCAGCCCGGCTTGGCCATCTTGTCGTTGATCCCCTGTCCGTTGATGGTGAGGTTCTCAAACTTGATCGACTCGATACCCCTCGTCTCGTTGTAGCCTGTCATGATGGCGGTGCCGGCATTGGTCCCCTTGTAGTCGAGGTTTCGGATCGTCACGTTGGAGATGCCGCGTCCCGGCGACGTGTTGTACTTTTGGTTGTACATGACCATCATGGTAATGAGCTGGCCGTGCCGGAAGTCCTCCACCCGGACGTCCTCGATCAGCACGTCCTTGACGAGGTTGCTGTCGCCGGGGTTGATGGCGATGCACCCCTGGTAGCCCATCTGAAACTCCCGGTGGTCGAGGATGTCGAGATTCGAAAATGTCAGGCCGGACAAGGTCTCGGGATTGGTCGAGTTGCCATGCGTGCCAATGTTAATCGGATGCGCAAGGTCAGCCCAGAGGATCGAGTCTCGGACCGTCACGTTCTGCGTGTCTCCGTAAAAGTCCCACCTGTGCGTGTAAATGGCGATGGAGTCGTCCGATGTTCGCAGGAAGACATTGTCGATCAGCACATTCTTGCTGCTGAAGACGTCGATACCGTCGCCCCATTGCACGGCGCTGAACGACCGCAGCCCGCTGACCGTGACGCCGTCCGACTCGGCAATCTGGGCCGTGTAGTGGCCGGGGTTCAAAACGATGATGTCCTGGATCAAAATGTTCTTGCTCTGCCACGCCGAGATTGTGTGCGAGCTCGACTTGTACAGGATGCCGTGGCCCCGGAGCGCGGCACCCGTCTGGTTGTCGAAGCTGACTGACGCCTTGAGCACGGCGCCGCCAGCCACGTACAAGGTCTTTCCCGACTCGACCACAATCGGGTCTTTGGCGACGTGATAGCCCGGCCCGTAGTACAGCGTGTTTGTATCGTTCTTGGCGGCAGATTCGTCGACGATGCTGTTGCTGAAGAGGTGCAGGACATCAAACACATTCTCGGTCGCGTGAACCACCAAATTCTTAGGCTTGTCCAACGCGAAGGCGATCGAGTCTCCGTCAACTGCTGGCACAATGTTGAATGAATCGGGGCGGATGCGAGCTTTGGTGATAGCACCGGCCTTGTAAGACACGGCCACCTCCACCCTGCCTTGAAAGTCAAAGTAGGCCAGCGAACCAGTGAAGGTTGCGGTCCTGCCAGTCGTCACATTGACTTCCTGGTGCCGGGTTTCGTAAATCTCGAGCTCGTGCCAGGCACCGCCAGGAGAGCGGACTTTGACTTCGTACGACGCTTTGCGCGCTACCCCATCTGGGACCGGATATGTCTTGATGGAGTTGCATGATGCTTTGGCGACGCCGCTGACAAGGGTTGTGGCCAGGAGCAGCCAGTGGACCGAGAGTTTGAGGAACATGGTCGCGAAAGACTTGTGAAAGCCGAGACAGTTTTCTGACCAGGGAAGAGTGATGCGAGGTGACTGCAAGTGCCACGGCAGTTCTCTGAGGCTCACGATCAGTTAAACTTATAGCGATGCACAGTCTACTGGTGTGTAGGTTGCGCCGGGCATTACCCCGGATTTCCGGCCTGACATGAGTTTCCCCACGAAATGCGACACACCCCGCAGTTCTCCAGGAAATGACCCGAGATCAGCTGACTATGGTACAATCACGCTTTGACTGTGAGGATGATTTATCCACGGGCAATGTACCGGGCGATGTCCCGGTACTTCATTCGGCGGGAACTAGTCACTTCGCTCGGCGACCGGGTGTGAAGCTGTCGTCTGACCAGAGTTGACCCTCGTCTTGTCGGCGGCACGTGACACAATCTGAGTGACAAATCTTGGTGTACGCCGGATGTTCGCAATAGACATGGTATGACTGGAAACCTCCGAGGACAAGTTCGTGCGTCAAACATTCAGTGTTCGGAAATTTGAAAAAAAAAAAAATGTACTTGTGGGCGCGGGCGATTCGGTTGGAAGACGCGGTGTTTTCCCTCTCCAGATCAGTTGCTGTATCCCACATAGGTACAAACGTCATTTGAAGTGACCCAACGACATGACTGTCTCACATCCTCCCTCGGCTCCTCGCCTCTCTCCACGGTCAAGAACTTCCGTTGCTGGGCGTTGGCTGAAGCATCACAGCACTCAGGTGATGTCGACGACTTGTGAATGTGGTGGACTGAAACCTTGAATGGTGGGAGGCTGTTCACTTTGAACAGTGGCGCACTGAATAAGTTGGAACTTGACGGGCATGAACCTCGGTCTCGCCTGACAAGAGGTCCTGCGTATATGTCAGGACCCTGCGGAGCCGTCCAGGGCCTGCCAAGCCAGGGGGCTGGCCAGGGGCTAAGGGTCACGAGAGAACGTATATATATAGGCTGCGGAGGGCCCCCCAAAGCTGCGGAGGGCCAGAATTCAGATGTATTCCTATCCCATACCTATATTCTAACTACCTGCGGACCCTGTGGAAGACCCCTTCACTCTGTTCTAAACAACGCTCTGACAGCACGGCACTAATCATTCATAACAGAAGTTGGCTATACCAAGTCGATGACGGGCCTCAAATGGCCGCGTTCCTCTGCCACATATATTCGGATGAATACATACTGGCGTCGATTGGTAGAGTCGACGTTGTGGAAATCACTAGCCATTGCTTGCAGCAACCCGAAACACCGCCCTCATATCTCTAACCTAGAGGCATTTCCGTGCTTTGGTGGCGGCAATCTTTTCGGTTCTTCAACCCGGATGTATCTCCATTGCTGATCGTGCTCAGGTCTTTAAAGAGTAGGCACAATCACCAGAGTTGGCACATAACGGTAATGGCTCTCTCGGATGAGTGGTGTTCCCTTTCTTTCCGGTTGATCGCCCCAATTTCCGTGCCAGTAATGTAGAGAGAAAGGAACACTGTTCATATTTTAGCAGGCTGTTTCGCAGTAGCAGGAGATGAAAGAACCATATCCTGTGGAGTGGTCACTTCTCAAGATTCGGCTAGTCATGTCAAGTCGAGCAAGGCGGGGATCAAATGTCCTCCTCAAAACACCGAGATTACAGGACCGTCCATCGTGGATCTAAACGGAATAAGGTGCACTAACAAAAGTTTCGGAACCTCCCCGGGAACTATCATGATCTAGACCCAAGCGAAACTGAGGAAGGTGGAGAATGTTATTGTAAAGTTTCTTGACTGATGGCAGCATCCAATTTCTTTAGCCCCTTAGAAGGTAGCATGGTACGGCTATTGACTGTCAGGGGAACAAACTCGAAACAACCATTGAGATTATCTTGCCAACAAGCGAGTCTCACACGGTGGCGTCTGCCTCGACATTGTCCACTAACACATTGGTCGCTAGGACTGACGAAATTCTATCAATCCCTTGACTGGCGGGCCGCATGAGCAGAAAGAAAGACTGGGTAGCCAATAATTGCCATTGGACCAGCCTCGCTTTTATTTGGATGAGTTGTCGAGTCGACAGTGAGAACAGGCAGGCAGCGATCAGCCGTCTGATCTGTGATTTTGATTGATCAAGTCGGTCAATCAAGACCAAGGCGCCGCACTTGCTGTTGATGTTTGTGTCCCTATGCAATCCTAGTAGCCACAAACCTGAGGATCATCGGATGCCAGCTTCTAGAAGAACACGAGGAAGACATGGGGGGTGCTCGACGACAGTGCCTCGTTTAGCTCCCCGCGCCCCGCAGTCCGGCTCAGTCGGCTTCTGTCGTGCCATCATCGCCTTTGATGCACAACGAATGGGCTCTCGCCAATTGCATGTCAATGCAAGATGCACCAGACTTGGCACGACGATCGCCAAGCTACATGTAGCAGCATGCCGCGTAACATGCACACTAAACGCGATTGGCAATAGGAAGCTGTGTACACGGGGATAGTAAGGCGAGCCAGGGCGTTGCCGAATGCCGTGCGGGTTCGCGCCCGCGAGCTTATTACGAACAAAGAACTACCAGAGCTCTTCGAAGCACATGGTGCCACGTTGCCGCGAGGCACAATATGACGGCTGGACGCGGCTTGCTATCGCCTTCCACCCTGCGTCATGTGGTAGCACCTACAGATGACGCCAGGCGTGCTCCGAGTCGCACAAAGTCGGTCGGTAGTCATGACGTGAAACTCTGAGCAACCTGGTATAAAACCCCCTGAAGTCCTAGCTTCTTCCTGTGCCAAGAGATTTGACTAGTCAGGCGACATTCTCAAGATGCACTTCGTGCTATTTGGCGTCCTTCTCACTCTGGGGACTCTGTCTCAGGCAGCGTTCAACCAGGGTGCCTTGAATGCGTTCAACCACAGGCTCCCGCGCAACTACCAGAAGCATCAGGTCGCGCCTCCGCTGCCGCCAACACTGCCGAAGCGTGAGAAATCCCGATTCTTGACCGAAAAGACTGAAAAGTTCGTTGTAGATGGCACTGCCATCCCGGAGGTCCCCTTCGATGTTGGAGAGTCGTACGCTGGTCTATTGCCCATCTCCCAGTCACCTAACGAGGAGAGAGAACTCTACTTTTGGTTCTTCCCCTCCACGAACCCCCAGGCTGGCGATGAGGTCGTAATCTGGTAAGCCCGGCGCCTTCCGTTGGCTGAGCGTACCTAACATAATCGGCTCAGGTTGAATGGTGGTCCTGGCTGTAGCTCGCTTATTGGGCTCCTGACCGAGAATGGACCCTTCCTGTGGCAGGAGGGCACGCTTGCTCCCACTCCCAACTCCTACAGCTGGACGAACCTGTGAGTGCATTTTGATAGCACAATCTCTGCAACAGCCATGCTCACGTCATGATAGGACCAATGTCATCTGGATCGAACAGCCTGTTGGAGTTGGCTACAGCCAAGGAATCCCTAGCATTACCAACGAAGTCGAGCTCGGTCAGCAGTTCATTGGGTTCTGGCGCAACTTTATCGAGACATTTGACCTGCATGGTGTCACGACGTACATCACTGGCGAATCTTATGCCGGCTACTACGTCCCTTACATTGCAGACGCCTTCATCACGGCAGCTGACGACACCTACTACAAGCTCGGCGGAGTCGCTATCAACGACCCCATTCTCGGCGATAGTACCCTTCATCAGCAGGCTGTCATCTTCCCCTTCATCGAGTATTGGCAGAATCTTTTCTACCTCAATGACTCATATCTTGATGCTTTGCGGTGGACACACGAGTCCTGCAACTACTCCACTTACCTTGACACCTATGGAACGTTTCCTCCTCCTCCAGGGCCCTTCCCAGTCCTGGATGACCCTTATGCGGACATGTCCGGCAACTACACATGCGACATCTTTGATTTAGCATATCAGGCAGCTATTGAGCAGAATCCTTGTTTCAACATCTATCACATCACCGACACGTGCCCCTTTAAGAGTTCCCAGCTCGACAATGCCAACCAGGTAAGACATTGCTGCCAACCAGTTTAACCGAGAAAACACTGATCATTTGTCCCAGGGCGACTATGCTCCCCCCGGTGCCCAAATATACTTCAACCGCGCAGACGTCAAGAAGGCTCTGAACGCCCCCGACGTCGACTGGTTCGAGTGCACCCCCAACAACGTCTTTGGCGGCGGCGACTCGTCCTCTCAAGCCAGTGACACCTCTCTCGCACCCGCTCAGAACGATGTTCTCAAGCGCGTCATTGAGCACACCAACAACACCATCATCGGTGTCGGCCGCCTCGACTTCCTCCTTCCCCCCAACGGTACCCTCTTTGCCCTGCAGAACGTCACCTGGAACGGTGCTCAGGGTTTCCAGAGCTACCCGCAGGACCAGACCTTCTACGTGCCCTTTCACCCCGAATACAACACCGGTCGTCTCAGCGAATCCGGTACGGTTGGCCAGTGGGGCCATGAGCGCGGCGTCACGTACTACGAGGTGCAGTTGGCCGGTCATGAGATCCCGGGATACTCTGCTGGCGCGGGATACCGTATTCTCGAGCTTCTCGTCGGACGTATTCGCGACCTTGGAGTGACGGATAGCTTTACGACTCAGAAAGGCCCGCCCAAGCGTAAGTGTACCAGAAGGCATTGATGAGTATTGGGCCACGCGGCGCTGCGGGGCACTTGGAATCTCTGCAAGTGGGTGCTTTCACTTTAGAATGTACATATATTACGATTACAACCCACGAGTTGTGTTGATGCTTCCAGTTGTTGCTTGCACAACAATCATCACCATTGCTGCAGTGAAGTCTAAAACGCAACTCTGCTTCTTACCATTCACTTACCATGGTTAACTAGACGCTTTGGTACAGCGAGTGATGCTTTTACCAGCTTTTGGTGTCTCGTACAGGCGATGACTTGTCGAATTTAGAAGGCGGACGGATTGCGCACCGTAGAGCGCACTTTCAAGGGCTCAAAAAATGCACACCAGGCAATGTCTAGACTGACAGTGACGAGCATCTGAAGACCTCAGAGATTTCGCAGCCGAGATAGAGGAAGTACACGAGCTGAACAAGATCTTATTGGTCCTTGCTGGAGAGGTGTTCCCTCAGGCAGGCTTGCCCGTGGATACGGAATGAGCAGAGGGGTTGATTCCATCAAAGGGGCTGACTCCTACGGCAAGCTTGAAGAAGCTCTCGTCGGGGTCTCATCAGAGCGAGACGAGCTCCCCGCGAAGCTCATAGCCCAGAAACAGGATACGAAGCTGTTCCAGGAGAAAGGTCTGGAAAAGTCTCTTCTTTATGCGCTAGCAGCCATGGTGACTGAGTTCATCGTGATTTGAGCGCTCGGTGGGAATGGTCACCAAGAGACACGTCTTTATTATGTTCGCGAAGAGTTCACTTGCTTGTAGACACTGGCACTTGATTACAAAACACATTCAAGTGCATATCCTGATGGCAACACGATAACCAGTTAACCACAGTGAATGCTTGCCAATGCATCGACTCCATACCCGTTGCATTGTAATTCAAAGGCTCCGCCTCTGGCGAAACAGTCGGATGCTTTACACAGCTCGTGTGTTGTCTTCGTGGGACCCCGTCGTTGTTTGCACAGTCTTCTCGCCCGGTACGTATTCACCATTGCCTACAGCAGGTTCCACGCCTTTCCCCTTCGCCGCCTCAATCTCGACAGCAAGCTCGTCCAACCGCGACGTTTTAACGTGTGTGCGCCAGGCCGGGATACCTGAGTTGAACACGTCGTCCATCTCCTCAAGCGTAAAGCCCTAATGGGTGTTAGTCAGATACCAACAACGAGGAACGTTGATGAAGTTACCTTTGTCTCTGGCGCGAGCAGGAACATGTGAATGCATGCCAGCGCGTTGAAGGTGGCGAAGATGTAGTACATGTTGTAGTTGATGTTCCAGAGAAGTGGAGGCACGGCAAACGCCAGAACAGTGTTGAAGAACCAGTTTGTCGCTGTCGCGAGCGAGACAGCCTTGGCGCGCACCTTACTCGGGAAGATCTCGGCAGGGTAGGTCCAGGACACTGGTCCCCAGGTGGTCGCGAAGGTTGCGACGAAGAGATAGGAGCATGAGACAATGGCGATAGAAACGGGTCGCTGCTCGTAGACGATCCAGGTGACATCAGAGTTCTCAGTGGTGCGCGTCTCATCCGTGTTCGGCTCGCCGTAGGCCTGTTGCAAAGCCCCCGAGATGAAGAGCCAGGTCATCATGAAGAAGGAGCCGATGATGAGGGGCTTGCGGCGACCCCACTTGTCGAGGAAGATAATGGCGGGAAGGGTAAGGGCAACGTTGATGATATACTGGACCGAAGCTGTCAGAAGAGGGTTGCCGAGGCCAGCGCCTTGCATGATGTAGACGATGTAGTCTGGATTCGTTAGTGCTGATAATGGTCATCGCCAAGACGACTCGAACTTACACATCATAATGTTCATTCCGCAAAGCTGCGACCAAGCCTGCAAACTCATGCCAAGAAGGACGCGCTTGAACATTCTTGGAGCGACGAGTGCCTTGAAACTTGTAACGGCCTGCTCACGTTCGAAGCGTAGAGCCTCCTCGATTTCTTGGTACTGAGCAAGTACCTTGGGATCATCGGGATTGCCCTTTCCATGGACGTGGACGAGAACCTTCATTGCCTCTTCCCAGCGATCCTTGGACGCGAGCCACCGTGGACTGTAGGGGCAAAAAAACAGGCCGAGGAAGAGAATGACGCCTGGCACCATCTGAACACCCCAGGGGATACGGAAAGCGGCGGTTGACTGCTCGGGATCGGTCGGACCGCCATCCGTGCCCTCGGCTGCACCATACTGGATGAAGTACTGAATCAGAATACCCCAAGTAATGGCCCACTGCTGCAGCGATACAACGCGGCCACGGATCTCTTTGGGGGCAATCTCGGACTGATAGACAGGGACGATGGCTGAGCATATACCGACGCAGTAGCCGGCAACAATTCGGCCCACGCAGAGTAGAGCCACACCGTTGGCGGCACATTGAAATGTAGCACCGATGATCCAGAAGATACAGGCTATTTGAAGAGAAACCTTCCGAGAGAAACGATCGGCGATAAAGGAAGAAGAAAGGGCACCCAGGAGAGAGCCAACAGGCATGGAGGCAGTGATGCCACCCTGGCGGTACACGGTTGGGTGGTCGAAGTACTGGCGATAAGCCTCGGTGCCAAGGACGCCAGACATGGAAGAAATGTCGAATCCGAATAGACCACCACCTGGGAAGTATTAGTAAAAGACTTTATGTAAGGGAAAAGACCATGTTTGGCCAGAGGTCGCTTGGTAGACATGGTAAGACAATAAACATCTGCGGTTGATAAACTTACCAATGGCGGCAAAGCCACAGATGGCATAGACATTGCTTGCCTGCCACATGTTTTTGTGATAATGAATATGCACCAGTGTCTTTTCAGTACATGTAGAGTATGATCCACTTTCTCCAGTGGCGTTGTGGTGGTACTAGGCCTTGGAAGCCCAACACTCGAATGCCGTTGTACGTCCGCTCTGTATAAGATCAAGTTGAGTGCAGCTTGTTACCCAGGCACGGTGGGGGTTCTCACATAATATGTACTTGACTGTCTTCCATCTTGTCCAACCTCGCCATGGTTCAGTCCGGGACTTGGGATTGAAAGCGACGTTGGGTATGGAGGGTTGGGGTCAGTCGGTCTCGGCAGTCAGGATTCCACCCCAGTCGTGGGGCGTAGCATCATGCAGCTTCGCCAGACACCTGATGAAGCAACAAGCAAGGTTGATTGACCAGGATTAATGGTCGATCGCCAACAATAGGATATGTTTGGAGCGGAAATATGGCATTTGACCGAATTATATGCGTGGAGAATTGTTGACGCTGGCGCACTTCCTCTACAACAATCCATTTTAACAAACGAGACCAGGCATCCAACCTTTGATCGCATCGAATGCGATTCGTCTCCGCATGGGAGAAGTCTTGCTTGTACGTGTGACGCGTTCGACCCATGCCCACAGTTTTGTACACCATCTTGAGTGAAGGCCAAGCTCGCCAAGGAGTCCGTCAAGGGTAACAGACAGACGTCGAGGCATCTTACTAGAGCTTCCCCGTACGAAAATTTAATACCACTGAATGATCAGAAAAGGTTGACACGCCATGACCAAGGTACCTTAGCATAACAACACACAGGCTTCTATTCCAGCCCAAGACGTCCTGCATTCGATACCAGCTCCCGGCTTCATGTCACCATGTGTTCACCGCGATGCTGCTGAAACGACTATGCGATGCTGTACGCGTCAACCTTGACAGTGATTCGATGTACCTATCCTTCGCCAGTGTAAGCATCACTCTGAACCAGTCATTCGAGCCGCCCCGCATGGTATTACCCATACGCTCCGATCCCCCTCATGATACCTCCACAGATCCCCCGCCACCGTGGCCTGGCAAGCAAGGCAGAGAAGCTGCCAGGTACCACAGGCATCAATAGATCGGCCCATCCACCATCTTCCCAAGCGTCAAAAGGACTGGACGACTGTCAGCAACCAAGAGCCGGAGTTGAGGTCATCAGGATCTGGGCAACTCAGATCCGCCGAACCAAGGCCGCTACGCCACTTGCCATGGCGGAAAGCCGATCCTTCGTGGCATGTCGATAGAAATACTCCCGCCCGACTCGGTTCCTAATACCCCGCACCCGAAAAAGCTGGGCGCATGTCATTGCCCACGCGACGACCTCTTTCGAGAACTCGGATCACTGGATTAACCTCTTCTCCTCAATACGTATGCTCAAAACCGAACGTGATTTTGCAGCATATGGATCATCGTTGATTAACTTCTTCGTACCCGTGGATTCGAAATTCAAAAATGAGAACTTTCAGAAGTGGCTATGAATACTACCAAGCATGATGTACTTGGTTGAAGGGATTGAGTTACCGGCCTTAGCGATGGAAATTTGGAGGCAACTGGCTATTTTCGGGGCAAAATGAGCGGAGCGGCGCCTGGTACGACAAGATGGCAAACAAGGGGGAAGTTTAAATATGAATTCCAGTGCATGTTGGTGGATTGTGAGTAGTGGAAGCTGTGCATGATCTTTTACAAAGGTTTTTGGGCGTAGGACGCATACCTACAGAGGGATATGCTTTGTCGCCCACCGCTACGCTAACATGTTTTGAGCCATCGTTCCAGATTCAAAATGGATATCTCAGACCTCGATGCAGGAGAGGCTCATTTAGCACTGATTCTCGGGTGGGCACAGTCATCACTTGTCGTCTTAAACGGCGCGAAGTAATTGGCAGTATGGGAACAGCAACCCACGTGCTTCGCTACAAGCTTACTACATCCAGGCAGGGCTACGGGCTTGTTCTCGTCTCAAGCTCACTCAACTCCCATCCACGTGCAGCGTTATCAAGGTCAAAAATCTTCACACAATACAAGACAAGATCAACAAATAAACACCCAAGTGCGGAGTAGGCTAGCTAATATTCTGTATACGGAATGAGGTGGCGAGGCGGTATCCCAGTCTCATCGATGTTATACGCCAAGACCACCAACGAGGCGAGAAGGCCATACGTTACCTGCCCGCCTGAAGAACCCCAAGCACTCCCGACATACCATGGCTCGACAGTCGTGAAACCTAGCAGAATGAGATGGAAAGACATAATCAATTCGAGAATTTTTTCCAACTTCATGATGGTAGCAAGATTTGGCCAAAAGATCAAAAACATACAACATCAGGGATTCGCTGGTGGTCACCCACCCAACTACTAGTCCGACCCTTACTAGCTTATCTATGGGAGAGCGGACGGGATCCCGAGTTCTCCAGTAGGTATGGTCGTATGTGCTAGAATCAGTGATCATGCAGTATATAATCGCGCTCACCCCTCACTTGACGCTGCCTTTATCTCATCGTCTGCCGTCTCTTAGAAGATACATGTACTTGGATCGCTCAGGATACTTCGCACCTGCAGCATCCACCGTTGTTTAGTACGTTTTTCCAATTGAACCCCCTTACAGGTCTGGGATTGATCGGATGGATGTGTGACCCTGCACTCTCACACATGTCTGCGCAATATGGATGGATTGTGGGGCCGACAAGCTCGGCTGCGCGAAAGACAGGACCTCTGATCTACAGTCAACTCGAAAGTTCAGTCAAGTCTTCGCGGTCAACGAGAGCGGTCCTTTCGTGAAATTCTTCCTCTCCACAATCATGCCTGAAGCACAACCTGTAGTGAGAAAAAGGCCGTTGCTCCGAAGAGCGCTAGCCGTGTCCAAACGAGCAACAACAGCTGCGCCCCGAAAGACACGAGCGCCGTCACTCGAGCCCCCGCCATCAGGCAAGGGCAAATCCTGGGAGAAATAGGTCAATATCGAGGCCGCCACCAAGGCTCTATCCGAAACAAGTCGATGGTGAGAGAAACTCTGGATGTGAATTCGTAAGAGCCCGCAGAGGTCTTCTCTGAGGACCGCGAGGCGATCTGCTAGTGCGGAGGACACGAGCTGCGGGCTCGGTGGTTCCGACAGCAGTGCTGCCTGCAAATCAGTTCCCTATAAGATACAAGTGAGCCAGACCAAAGACCCGCGAAAAGGCGAGGCAGGGGAGTGAAGCAGTGTCAACAGAGACAAAGAAAAACAAAGAAAGAAAAAGGGAGGTCTGGGTATCATAGTGTCCCTGAGAGCATGCCTCGACAGTCCGTCCTCCTCAACGCCGTACGCCGCCCGCCTTGTTGGCATCATGCTCGAAACCGCCCCCCTTTCCTTGCACTAAATGCGTGCGACCAATTCTCAAACGCCCCAAGCGCTCCTGTCGATTTGTAACCCACAAACAGTACAGCCATGTCGCGTCAGGCAAACTTCTAGTCGTCACAGGGACCGATGTGCTTCTCATGAAGAAGTCGGAGATGACCACGCTGCAGGCGGAATGACGAGTAGTTACCCGCGAGAATCGTCTCAAGAATACTCGCCATGTTGGTACCGTGGCCACCGCCCTTCGACAGCTCGGCCATGCGTTCCTTGATCATGCGGTGCGCCGAGTGGAAGTCGTAGAAGATGATGCCAACATTACTTGAGCCGCCAGAGATGTCATTCGACGAATTGTTGGGGTCGATGATCGACAGGCGGTCTCTGTTCTTGTACGTCAGGTTATGGTCTCTAGATGACTGTAGGATGTTAGCATTGTATTGGTCAATCAAGAGGTGGTTGACTCGCCTTGCGAACATAACCGGGTGGGTTAATGCGAATCGCCGTGGTCTTGTAGTCGAACCTGTTGCCATAAAGGTCAAAGAATTCCATGAGCATCTCGCCGAGATGGTGCTCTGGGACGAGGTTCTTGCTCTGCACCTTGGGCATCAGCTGCAGCATGCTCATGACCATGCAACTAACGGAGAAACTGCCGATGCCGCCGTTGACAGGCTCATTGAGCCCACGCATGGCAAGAAAGTGCTTGATGATGGTGACGAGGATGGGCAGAGCGGGGTACTGCTCCTTCCAATTCAGGAATGTTTTGATAGCAGCAGGGCCATCCATTCGGTCGAACGAGATATCGACGCGCAAACCAGTGACGGCGTCAATGTACTTCACCAGAGGCACTCTGGCTTTGGCGATAACCTCGACGGACGAGGGGTCGGCAAGCCTATTTTGTGTGAGGAAGGCCCGAAACTTGTATAATGAGCTGCCGCCAGGGAAGGCAGTCATGCGGCCGGAAAGCCATTCCTTTGAACAGATGACAATGTCCATGTCGGCAGTGGGCAGGTACAGACCGGACATGTAGGAGCCAAATGGGTGAACTTCGCAGCCGCGATACTTGGGATTGCGGCGAAGGGAGTCACGAATGCGTTCAATCAGCTCGCCTCGCATACGCTGCTCAAAGGCACGAGGACGCACATGCTCGTAAAAGTCTACAATCTCCTTGTGAAGCCTGACACGGATCAGCAAACTTTGCTCTTTGAGGTGGGTGCCAAAACTTACCAAACACTCATATCAGAGGTTTGAGAGTGGTCCGCAATAATCCAGGGACAATCATCCTCCTCACGAACGGGTTCCCATTCAGGAACAACGTGGCCGCGGACAGGCATTTTGTTGACTTTCTTTAGTGCGCCGTAGGAAGGAGGCTTGATCTCGTCGTCAAAGGTGCGCTTGCGCGAGCCCAAGGGGTCGGAGTTGTCGGGAACAAATGCCATGGAGCGGGGTTTAGAGCCTGGACTTGTTGGTGGCAGGAGGGGCTTTGGAGGCAGTGAAGTGTCGGCAGGAAGGCGCCCATTCTGTTCGGCTGAATCAGTTGAATGCTGCGGGCCCTGATGACGCCCACTGGAGCCCGAAATATTGTTGCTGGCGCTGCCATTCATCTTGATTTCCTCCTCATCGTCATCGTCGTCGCCCAGATCGAATGAAATAAAATCCTCAGCCTCGGTGCTGG